CTTAAAAGTACTTTGCAATCTTATTATGATGTCTTACGTTCAAATTATTTTGATGGCTGAACTGTGAAAATGTTTTACTCAAAATCCTAATCTTTTTCCAGGTAATTACAAGAACTGTATTTGGATTTTTGGTACTCACTGACAGTTGAATGATATAGCATAACAATGCCTTTGTATAGTGTTGACAACTTGAAGAGTTCCCATGGATACCTCTTTCCCATTAATAGTTTGTAACGGTCTTGGACAACTTTCTAGCCACTACCTCACAAGATCATCAAATGCAACCTGACATATCAAACAAAATATAGCTTTGATAACTTCAAAATTTTACCTGTTCTTTTCCTCAAGCTCTTTATTGGCTTTTTTTCGATGGACTGGGATAAGCTGAGCAAGGAGGTCTTTAGCATCATCTCTTTCTTTTTTGGCATTTACGGCTGAGTCATTTGTAAACTGGAAAGTGAAGGAGTTTCCATCGTGGAGAACAATCTGTATCTGTATTTTTGAGCTGCCCTCTGGACTTATTCGTTGAACTGTTGACAGAACTTATTGCTTTAGACAACCTGTTCATAAATTTGGTATTTATTCTTTACTTATGACATCACCAAGAACAATAAGTGGAATTATTAACCCTTTGACCCCTCAGAGTGTCTAGCATCTAATTTCTCCTTACAATATCACCTCTGAATCAAACATTTAAGTCATGAGAATAAAGGAAACAATCATCAACTAAAAACATACTGATTGATAAACACATTCTCTTTGTCAGCACCTTAGGAAATTTAAAGAGAACAGCAAGGAGAATATGTATACTGATGTTAGGGTGTAAAGGGTTAAATACCACTTCAGTCACTGAATTATTTATATTTTGTCAATTTTTTATGGAAAATGGTGTCTGCCACACAAGTTTGACACAAGCTCATTTGGTGGAGCTCACTGCTCATATTTTACCTTGCTCTTAAAGGGGCTCAGACAAATTCTAGGAAAACTCCCACAATATCCACAGGTGGTGCATGGTAAACCATCAGATAGAGTGTATTATTTTATAAAATAACAGAGATACCATACACATTTCCATTTGTCAAATTCTTAGCGCTAATTGTTGCAGTGAGCCGCCATTTAAGCATTTGACTCTTGAGAGAGACTACTGTACATGTAACATCTAACTTCTCACAACATCAACCCCAAATCCAACATTGAGGTTACAAGAGTAAAGTAAATAATTACCAACTAAAGAAGCCCTCGATTATTAAACAAATTCCCCATGTCAGCACCTTTGGAAATGTATGGTGTGGAGAATATGCATACTGATGTTAAGGTGTAAATGGTTGATTAAAACAACAGAGTGCACCTCCTATTGGTTTACAAGAATTAATTGGCCCCAGTAGGGATGCTAGGATATTTCACTTGAAGAATTGTACAAGTCCACCCTTGGCTCATAAATTTAAAAAATTCTCATGTTGCGAACCTGACGGAGAGCATGGTTAATCACTAAAAACAAGGAAAAAGTGAGAAAAAATGTGAATACGTTTGAAAAGCTGAAGGGAAACAGAGTCCTTTAATTGAATCTGATCAGAAGAGAGTGGACATGTGAAAAATGATGTATAAAACCGTACATTTCGAGGCGTTAAAACTATAGCCATGCATATATGATGCACTCTCAACCCTATTTCCATGTCATGGCATCCGCGACCCATTGGTTAATGCAGTTAACATCGACCCAACAACTGGACGATTGTAATATTAGGAAAGAAAACTCCAGTGATAGCATCAGTCTACAAGCGCAATGATCGAAACACGATATCATACAACGCACCACTTTTCGAATTATAATCACATGGTAGGATCAGTAGCAATATACCGGCTGATGAAGACAGGCCGTACACGTGACATAACTTCAATAATTCAATCGAATCAAATCGGTTGGTCAATTTTACCTTTGATTTCAGAGTATGCACATGACAGTTTAGGATTATCTGATCCGTAAGGTATCCAAAGCAGTTCATTGGACATGAGACGCAAGGTTCCACCGGTCTTTTTGTGCTTGGTGTTTATTACCTCCAGAAGAACAGTCTCGTGGTCCGCCATCTTGGATGGCATTCTAAAACTACCCCGCTGACTAAATATTTTTGCACAACGTGGTCGCGTGGCGTCTGATCCCAGTTTCCGTTGGATGGAGTGCGGTGCTTTAAACAGGTTATAGGGAAATTCGCAAACATATATAAAATGTATAACTGGTTTATATCTGCTATAGTGTCTTTCACACCTTCCTGTACGCAAAGAGCGGCCGCCAGTTTTGTTTTAGGAAACATGCCTTTCTAGATCGCGTTTTGTTTCTCAATGATAAAATAACAATGGTTGCTTATACCAGAGAAAAGACAACTGAACTTACATAAATTAGTACAAAAAGCTTTGTAAAGCTCCGTTTGGCTGAAATATTTGCGCTAAAATATACATAACCCATCAAGGGACTTAAGATCCACCAACAGCACTTAAGTACTTGAGCGAGAGAACTTCAGTCGAGAAGGAAGAGGGAAGAGGGTGAAGTTTGAAGTAGTTATTGTTCGGGAGGAAATCGCTTGAAATTGTAATCATAGGGCTATCCTTCCAGGTCAGAATATTATACATTTGATGGTCTCTTTTAGGTTGTTGGCTTTCGCCAGGCCCTGGCCCTGGAAGCGGCAAGTAGAGACAGTGGTTGATCAATCAGGACAGCGCATTTCTCGATTGTTTCCGTTAACTGAGAGCTTAGCACAGACTACAAATCATGGAAGTTGCTAACGAATAATTTGTGTAACAGATAAATAAGTACGAATCGACAAAGGCTCGCCTTCTTGTCACATTGCTTTCTTATTGATTACTAAAAAATCACTCCTAACGCTTCTTTATCCCCTTGATGAATCATAAAACCATGAATGCTTTTAAATGAGTGTAAATATATGGAAATCGTATATGCGGACTGCGGTTATAGAAATGAATTTGAAATCAATCTTCGCAGTAATGAACGCTACTTAAGCAGTAGTGATTTGAACCCATCACCTCTGCGATACCTGTGCAGTGCTCTACCAACTTAGCTAACAAGCCAACTGAGAGCTGGTCATAATGTTGGTTCGTAGCAAACCAGTAAAGAGATGAATAAATGACTGTAAACATGTGAACATCATATCGATGCTTTTAGCAGATACAAGAGATCCTTATGACTCTTGGCAGGTATTGACGTCAATGCCGACAATTTTGGCCAATGTTTTTAGAGTTGTGATTGGTTCAATAGCTAAATAACACAAACTAGAACGTCAAGGAGACAACCTACTGTAACCACACTGACTTCACAATGAATCATCAATTACTATTTCCGTAGGAAGTCTGCTCGTAAGACTGACTCATATAGCTGAACATTTCTGTCCTATGAAGCATACTTGAGCTACTTGGTCTATCACAAAGAAACCCACCTTTCCCCCCTCATCAACGATTTATCAGATTTCCGTCATAGGATTTTCTTTTTGTTCGTCATTAGATGCACCATTTGTGAAGGAATGAAACGAAGCTGTACGCCCTACAGTAATAGAAAGAGTTTTTTGGCATTTAACAATTTGTCTCAGAATAATGACTTGGCAATGAAGAACGCATAAATAGGTTGTGAAGTTGCATTGCTGCTTAGAATACTGAGCGATTACTAACACTACAATTAGCAACAGACTGACAACAAAGGATGCATGCTGGTGCATGCTGAGATTGGGGAAGGGCGGTTGTGAGAATTAGATGTCCGCCGTGGTCCAACGCAAGGCATCTGGTGCCTCTGCAAGAAAATCTATCTTGGTCTAAAGATCCAACATCCTGGCTTAAATCAAGTGGTTCGGAGCTTAAATTTTAATAACGTCGCACTCTTTTGCACTTCAAATCGATCGACGAACGGGTCAGAGAGCGAATGACCTCGATTAATTATGGAGGAAAATCAACTCTTGCTCATAAGAATTTAAGAATTTTTTTTATCTTAGTGATCATTAGACCAAGTCCTCCAAAGGGAAGTTAATTTCAACGGAAGATTTATATTTCATATAGTTAAATAGCCGGTTAGACAAGCGCCCGCACTCCTCTTGATCAGCAATGTCGAAAGAGTCGCGATGCAAATAGAATTAGCCGGATAAAAACTTCTGAGCGCGATCTTCGAATATTCAAATTAGGAGCCACTTAACATTAATACTTTCATTACAATTTTATTGTTAATATTATCATAATTGCTGTATTATTATTTTTGACCTTTCCTGGTGAGACTTTGTGGGTATAATTAAATTATTACAACGAGGGGAATCCGAAATACTAATGGGTGTCGGCAGCTTGTATACAAGATTTTGCTTGTCAGAAATCTTCTTTACTCTGACCTCTATGATACCTTCGAATCTTCCCAAATATACGTTTTTAAAATACCATAGGGTAGAAAAATGAAAAAAAATTTTCTGCTTTTTTTTTCTCGGCGTTTTTGTATTTGCGTGACTACATAAGACTAAATCTTATCATTTCATTTAAATTTGTGGTAATAACAAGTTGCAATAGGTTTAAATCTAGAAAGCCAAATGACGTTTGTGCCAAACAAATAGATTTTTCTTTAAAAAACACAGCCACTTTGGTCAAATTTACATTTTTCCTCATATTGCAACAGAAATTTTACGACCTCTTGAATTGGTTTAACTTATCATTTTTTATCATAGAGACATCTGCCTCTCAGATTGGAGGTTTTTCGATGTGTAGAATACCAAAGTGGTGAAAATAACATTTCAATTAAATAAATCGCAAGCTTCTTGTCAACACAGAAAAAAATACGCCTAAAAATATCGTTTCGCGGCCAGGTGCGGGAACGAAACCGTGATCCCAGCTCATTTGCCGCGAAAAAAATTGGTTGTTCGTTGTTTGTTTGTGAAAATGGACGCTAACCAATCACAGTCAATGAGGGAACAATAGGATTTGATTGACAGATGTAGTATAATGAGGTTCAAACTGAAGCTTTTCAAAGCTGGAGTTTGCCAGTTTTTGTTGAGAATATCGCACAGCTTCCGAAATGATGCTGAAGTTCGGCAGATTTGGGGAGTATTTGCGTTTCTATAAATCAGTTCTGCACCACAAGTGTTGAAAATTTTGATTTGCCATGGCAGGATTTGAAATACGGTCTGTGGGACCCTACATTCTCGAAGGAACTTTGGGTAGAGGGCAAACCGGTACGAACAATGATTTCGCGCTCTCTAAATTTTGTACTTTCATTTTTTTTTATTACAGCTCGCTTGACTGTTTTTGTTTCATTTCAACAGGGCTCGTGAAACTTGGAATTAACTGTGTCACCAAGAAGAAAGTTGCAGTTAAAATTATCGACCGTACGAAGCTTAGCGAGCAAGTTTTAAGCAAGGTAGGAACTTCTCACAAATTGGTTGTTTCAACGTAAATAAGAACTTTAGGGAAAATTGAAAGATTCTAGAATATTCCGACGATGTAAACATGCAATTTGCATCTGATTGTGCGATGAAAATAACAAACGGCTTGACAGATCGCCATTTATTTCCACATTATCTTGTAACGGGGTTATCTTCATTACGTTGCAGCCAACATCCTTGTGCAATACGAGAAGTAAATCAGCTTATTTACGCGTCGTTTGCCAGTAGTATCGTACCATTCCTGTTTGTTTCTAGTGAAGCGATAAACACTGAAGTTTCGTCTTAGTTTTTGCCAAAACTTCCCTGTTTGAAATATTGATGAGTTTCAGGCTTGCTTTGTTTCCCTAGGATATTTGGACTAGATTTTTCGTTTAGCCTGTTTATTGAGGTTAGGGTCAAAATTTTTTTTTTGTTTTAAGCAAGTTTGTGCGCTTGAAGTGTTTCGTAAATCTTCCGTGACAAATAAATTCTTCCGCCAACTACATGACAGATGACGGTAATTTCGACATAAGATAAAACTCAAAACAAACATTCGCCTTTTCTATTTCACAGTAAAACATTGTCAGTTGTTGTGTTCTGTATTCCTTAAAGAAAATATGTGTAAACTTAGGTTTATGGTTCGCTTTGTCCGTCGACTGACAAACGTTATTTCGGAGACAGTGCTTCTTTTTGCGAAAGAAAAAAATATTTAGGTTCGGAACAGAACCTTATCCGGATAAATAACTTCTTTGCATACGCTAGAATTTTTAGAAATTGCTTCCGTTAATCTACACGTTGTATTTGTTAGTTTTGGGTGACTATCTTATGTCAACCGGCCAATTAGGGGATTTTTATTACAAAACATGCAGATGTTGTTTTCGAGAGTTCGAAACCGAAGAACACTATTTTGTTCGATGTGAGAACTTACGATCTCAGTAAGATTCCACGAGTTTGCGAAATTGTGGTACAAATTTGACCCTTGAAATCGATTCAACGTTACCTTGTAAACAACTTCTATCAATCACAGTCTGACCTAATTCTCAATTCGCCGTTTGAGTCTCACTTAAAAAAGTTTTGTACTCTAATCTAATTCATTTAAAAAGGTGATAAAAATTTATCTTTTTTCCCCATCAAAATATACCATGTTTTCTGAAATGTGTGAACATGATCAACTCGTCGACATGTCTATTTCTTGTCAATTTTGTTACATTTCATCGGTCAACACCATCACAACGGGGCTCTTCTATATTTGCATAGTACATGTAATAATTGCGCCCCCATTTGTCAGATTTGAAGAATTTGTTTTGTTTTGTTTTTCTTGATGCATAAAGGAAATTGAATAGTACATCATGTTCGCACTTGAAGCTGTATTGAGGAAATCAAATAATCAAATGCAAATAAATTTAGTCAGACAGTCTGCAGGAAGTAAAAATTTCGTCATGTCACTACTATTACTTCTGAGAAGATTGTATGGTTGACTCTCGAAGTTGTTATTTTGTGCTTCATTCCTACTGTGCTCTAATTTTTTGGCAAAACTTCTTCAAGGAAGAATCATTTTTGCTACAATTTTTATACATTATATACAAGTTACATTTATGATGTTAAGGCTCATGTTTGTTGCAATTATTGCAAAATGTTGATTTTGAGAAGACTTGATTTTGCAGTGCTTGTGTTGTTCCACTACAGCAGTAATCTCCTGGAGATATTGCAGTATTGATTTTACTGCCATTATAAAAGTTCTTTATTGAATAAGAACATTTCTTGGGGTCTTAATTTTAAGGGAAAAAATCTTTGATGAAACCTCTTACCTATACTTGGGTGGGATGACTGTTTTCACTTCTTTTTGTCATAAGCTAACTTTCTCTTCTTGAGTTAGTTGTAATGCTGATACCATTACTCCTATATATAAAAAAATGTATCTTTTGGGCTTTAAATTGAGTTGATGTTTAAGCAAAATGTCCACTGCCTAGTGATATTGCTCTCACAAGTAAATATGATATATTAAGCCTCCTGTTCAATGGGATGGTCTTCAGGATGCCGAATTCCCCACCATCTCTCCCACAAGCAATTTCTCAGGTCCCCCTGCCTTCCTTACAGATCACTAAGATCTTGCGTGAAGAACCTTCTGTAATGGTTTTTGAGCAAATTATTCTTAAACTTACCTTAAGGTAAAATATGAGGTTTTGTGCTGTGCGAAAAGGTAATTTTGTAGTCAGAATGGTATGGTATGAATGCCAAATTTGGGATCAATTTAGAAATTGGCTCAAAAAAATATTCTTCACAAGATGAGAACCTAAGGTTTACACAGATTGATGTTTTACAGTATTTCCGTGCTTGTATGTGCAATTCGGACATGATTCATTATCATAAATGAATGGCAAGGGAAATAATTCCTCAAGTTATTTTTAGAATCAAGCTGAAATAATCAACATTGCTTAAGACTGTATTTCTGTACATTGTATTGGTAAAAGTTTCAATTTTTTAAAGCCAGCATCAGTTGATTATCTTAATGAAACAAATACATGAAGTTCAAGTGAAGATTTTAGTCTCTCAAGCATTGCATGACCTTAAGCTATGGTGTGATGTAAATACAGAAACCACTTATTTTTAATTTCCTGCACTGATAATAAAAACATGATAAAATTTGATCCTTTTTAAGTAAAAAAATTATGAAATGGTTTCCTTATCTAATATCCTCTTAGTAGTAGAAATAGGAGATACTGTTGTTATTAAATAGATCCCAAATTTTTTTTTCCAAATTATAGACTGAAATAAAGGATGAACCTGTGTTTTTTTGGCTTACCATGAACATATTTCTTTAATGGCAAAATTTGCATTTATCAAGAGAATAATTCTGATTTCCCATTATGATATCATTTGTAAGAGTTGTTGATTGAATAAAACAAGTAGATTTTTGTATGAATTCAGCTTTTCTTATTAATGTAGTCCAAAGTAAAAAGCTTCACTGATTTTGCTACAGTATTTCCTCATCTACTTGTGTGTGTGAATCATCAGCTCAAGATGTGGTTAAGTAGACAACACAGATTTATTGTAAAACTTGATTTCCATCATATTTTGTAGTATCTATCTACTTCAAAACTTGAAGAAAATTAACCTTTTCTCAGAAAGGAAATTGTAATCAAGGAATTTACTGACCACTGTTTTTAATTGTAGTTTGATTCATTTGACATGATATTTTCATAAAAGAACATGTGGATTAGACCTTGGGGAATAGTGTAAATTCATTTGTAATTCATGTCATCCCACCATACTGTGTTTATTTACATAATTGTGCATGATGTGTTTTTTTGGTTTAAAGTAAAACTGCACTGTTTTGTTTATCTTAGTCTATTTTCAGCTTTTGACAGGTTTGATTGAAGTCCAGAGAAGTATTTTTTTGTACTGGATAAACATGTAGTTCACAGATTTTGTCTAGTAAAAGGAAAAACCAGCATGTTTCTCAGAAAAGAGTGTATTTTTTTTTTCAGAGAATATTTAGGTACATGTGTTCGTGAAATACACATAGTTGATTATTTACTATGACCCTGAGAGAGTGGTTCTACATTTGACTTAACCCTTTCACTTCTAAGATCTCATTAGTAATTCTCCTTACTGTCTGCTGTAAAGTTCTTATGATGTTAGTTTTAGAGAATTTGGTTTTTAACTGGCATTTTTCTTTATTTTCATCACGTGTCTGCTTGATATTGTATTGATATTGTAAGGAGAAATTCTATCTTGGTCACTCATGGGAGCTAAAGGGATAAACTTCCTCTCTAAATGTTTTTACATTTGACTTAAACTTCCTCTTTAAAATTTGAAAACTTAATAGAAAATGCTTTTAAATTTAAGAGCATGCACAATAACAGATTTAAGTGCTCTTTAAGGTATAGTGATATGAATGCAGAGATTATATACCGGTACAATGCTACTTTAGCATTGCTCCTGCCATTCCTGTGTGTTTTTCTTACGCGATAAACACTGCAGTTTCAGCTTAGTGTTTCCCAAACCTCTCTGTAAATGTCTGAGGGGTTCCATGAAGTTTGCAAGAACCTTTGAGCAAATTCAGAATGTAGAATTGATTCACACATTACTCATAACTGGGAAATGGCTTTGGAACAAATTTCTTTGATAGCATTTCAATGATTGACATGCAATTTTTTATTTGTCACATGCTGAATGATGCTGATTCACATGTGTGTATCTTGGTTTTCTTTGTTCCAGGTTGAAAGAGAAATTGCCATCATGAAGCTTATCGATCATCCTCATGTCCTTGGACTATACGATGTTTATGAGAGCAAGAAACACCTGTGAGTTTACTGATATTGCCAAACTCTTGCTTTCTCTGCCGTTGTTAACTTTCAAATATCTTCCATGATAATATCAGGGTCCTCAAATTGTTGAGATCTTAGAGGTCCCACATAAAGATATGGGGAAACGTAAGCCCTACCTCTGTCTTTAAGCCCTTTTATCACTGTTTATTTAACCTGCATGCAAGCAGGTTAGTCTTTGGGTTTCAGCCCCTTGTAGCCCCTTTTCATGGCACAACTGCCTATGACACCATTGGCAGCTGCTTGATATGGAAATGCCTCTGCACCAGTAGATAGTCAACAGATATTCGGAGGAAATTTGATGATAGTCAACTAAGAGTTGACAGACTCGCTTGTGATGTATAATGGCAACTCAGTGGTGTGGTTTTTACTGCCATGATACTTGACTGATACTCCACCAATACTTGATTGAAATCACTAGTTACTGACCTCAACTATCATTATGACACTGCTTGTAATTTTTTCTTCTTTTTTTCATCATTTAACTCTTTGACCCCTTTAGAGTGACTATTATCTTATTTCTTTCTACAATATCACCCCCAAACTCATTAACTCCCATGAGTGACTAAGACAAAATTTCTCCAAGTACAATGTCAATACGATATCAACCAGATAAGTGATGAGAATTAAGAAAAATATCAATTTGGGGAAAATAAGTTGATCCAATACTAAATTCTCTGAACTAACATTATAAAAAGTGTATGGTTGACAGTAAGGAGAATTACAAATTTGATCTGGGAGTTAAAGGGTTATAAGGTCATGAGAATAAAAGAAATGATCACCAACCAAAGAAGCTCTTGTTTGGGGAACAAACTCTCCCTGTCAGCTCTTAAGGAAATTTATAGAGAGCAGTATGGAGAATGTGCATACTGATGTTAGGGTATAAAGAGTTAAACTCAAATGTATCTTGCTCTTTCTTTTAGATTTTTAGTGTTAGAACATGTTTCTGGTGGTGAGCTTTTTGACCACCTGGTCAAGAGAGGAAGGCTCCCTCTGGGAGAGGTAACATGTTTAATTTATTTTTGCTTGAGCACAAGCTTTAATTTCTACTGAAAATGTAACTCAGCGTATTTTGGATTATTATATCTCTCAGTTAGTACGTGCACTATGATTGGTCCATTTTGCAGGCTATGTTTCACTGTACGGCCTACTAAATTCAAAAGTTTGTTTTGATTGCCAATGTGTCTCTTGAAGAAAAATTTGAAACAGATTTCAGGAAAACTACGCAAATGAGAAAATAAAGCAAAGCTCCCAAACTTCCCAGTTGGAGTCTTAGAGTTTTTTTGAAGAAGACAACTAGCAAATAAAGAAAGATGACAAGCCACGATGAAGACTACTCAAAAGGTTGTCAAATACTGTGAAAAGACAAAATATATGTGGAGAGAGTTTGAAGGGTTTTGCAAACAGCAGGTTGATGGAAATGTTATGGACATACTTGCTGCATTGTGTTAAGATTTGATGCACACCAATCATCACTGGCCATTCTGCTTGAATTGAAATCTTTCCCCCTTCTATTTTAACTCAGAGATATAATAAACATCTTGCTAACCTTGTTTTTCTTGGTCTGTACTGTAAGTTACAGAACCTTGCTTTTTTCACATAATGTATGGCCTGGGCATTTCATGCTTGGGCCATAAATCTGAGCAGAAAAAACTTGGTCTGTAACTTACAGTAGGGCCCTTGAACTCAGTTAGTAAGAGGTATTTATACCCTACTTTATTGAAAGTTATGTTTAAAGTTTTTATGTTAACTTTGCTTTTGGAAAAATAATTTTCAGGGAGCATACTTTCATTTTTCTCTCTTAATTAGGCAAGAAGATTTTTTGCCCAGATGATCTCAGCTGTTGATTTTTGTCACAAGCATTGTGTTTGGTGAGTGCATGTTTAACATATATTTTTGACTTTCAAACTCAGAAAAACCATTTAGACTTGATATGTTCTGATTTTGGTCTGATCTTCTCAACACATTAAATACTCCAGAAATACTTCTGGTGTTCACAGTTTCCTGACTTCTTTTCATGTTTTTGCTACCTTTTGGTGTTGTTCAAAGAAAATGTGTACATTTATAGACAGCTAATTAGAGTGCACGTGAAAATTTCTATAATGTCGCTTTTAATGATGTATGTACAGTACTGTAACTCGTGTTTGGTTTGACTTATCTCCAAGATGTTACAGTCAAGTTTTAATTATTTCTTGTAAATGTGAGCAATGGCTTTTTACAGGCTAAAATTAATTCTTAATCTTGTCTTGAGTGAATTATTTCTTAAGTTAAGTTTTGATATCATGTTCTTGGAGAGGTCTTCTCTTAGTTGTGAGACTTTTGGCTTTTGCCTGTTAAATTCAAGTTGTATATTTTAGCCACAGAGATTTGAAGCCTGAGAACCTTCTTCTGGATAAAAAGATGAATATAAAAGTTGCAGACTTTGGAATGGCATCTTTACAGGTATATGTGTGTGTTTGCATATAATTCTAAAGTATTTTGACAATTATGTGTCTTTTTATTTATTTTTGTTAACCCTTTACACCCAAAGATCAGTGTACACATTCTCAGTTCTGTTTTCTGTACATTTCCTAAGGTGCTGACAAAGAGATTTTGCTTAACAATCAAGCTCCTGTACTTGTTGATCCTTTCCATTATTCTCATGACCCTAATGTTTGATTCAGGGGTGATATTGTAAGGAGAAATTAGATGCTTGTAACTCTTAGGGGCTAAAGGGTTAAGTGTCTCAGAAATTGCAGTGCTTATTTAAGGGAAAATGTGTCTTTGTTAATCAAAAAAGAGGTTAAATCTTCGAGTCTGCCTCTTTCATAATGGAAAATGTTCCCACTCTTCCTTCATGTGCATGCAAATTAGTCCTATTCATATCACTTTTGATTTAAAATTTTATGGTTTTTGTGGGGTTGGAAAGGCTTATTTACATGCATTTAAGAGAATTACAATCAGCCCTGCCATTCTTCAGAGGGGTGTGCAGCCCAGAACTGTTTATAGGCGGACCAAGGAAATACTGCTATTCTTCTGTCCATTGCAAGGGAGGGTTGGGGTGGGGTGGGACTATTCCTTCTGTTCATTGCAAGGGTGGGATGGGATAAAAAATGATTTGGCCCATTGATACTCCTTCATAGCAAGAGGTATTGTAAGGAGTAAAAAAATTAGTTCAAGTCAAGAGATAGTGTGACTCAGACTGATCCTTCAAAAAACAAATCATGAAAATAATGCCATACAATGTTCATGCTTACATTCAATTTTTGTAACAATGTTTGGCCTCATTTTATTGGCAGGTTGGAGATAATGCCATGCTTGAGACCAGCTGTGGGTATGCTACACATACTGTACTTTATATCCTTTCTTTAAATGTTGTATAAAATGATAGTAATACACATTTTATAAGTGCATGCTAGACAACTTCAAACTGTCATTTTGTCATTTTTCAAGTATTTTCTTTTTCATCTTCTGCCAGGTCTCCACATTATGCTTGCCCAGAAGTCATTCGAGTATGTACCATCTGAAACTTTCATAGTATGCCTTGTCTAAAATAGTTTTATACTGTTCATTTTTCAGTCTGCATTGTATGTAATTTGTGAGGTGATTTGTATTTTAGGGTGAAAAATATGATGGTCGAAAAGCAGATGTTTGGAGCTGTGGCGTTATCCTCTATGCTCTGCTTGTTGTAAGTTATCACTTTACTAAGAGCACAATCTATCCTATGTAAAAGATGTACAATTGAATGTCAAAAGTAATCTGGGCTTTATCTTGTTTTTCTTTGCTTTACTGTGTGCTTGTTCCAGTAAACTTGTACCATCCTCTTAACCTGTTAGATTCAAAACCAAAAGCAATGTCTGTCAGCATTGTGCTTGATTTTACTTTGCATTCTGATTGGCTCTTTGTGATATTTTCTTTTCTTCTGATTGGCTGTTTCAATCACTTTGGTTTTTGTTTTGTGACAGTCAAGGGAAAAGCTCTTTGCTGCACCACTTGTGAGATATACACTTCTATTTTCTTCATTCTCTTACTTCCCCCCTCCCTCCCTCCTCTAGTTGATGTCTGTTTTTTGATTGAATGATGGTGGCAGAGTTGGCCATAGTCACCCAGTCCATTGCCTACATGCCTTCAATTCGGCTATGCTCCAACAGTGCTTGGTAACCCACGGAAAGATACGTCACCATACATTTGGGGAACTAGGAAATTATCCCCAGCACAAACCGAAGAGTATATGTTGGGTACCCTAGATGCTCCAGTTTAGAGGTTTAGGGATCTGGGAACTTTCATAAAACTTCTCTTATTATCAGCACAACACCATTTTGCAGATTGGTTAAATGTACTCCCATAATCAAAGATCTAGCAATTTTTAATTGCATTAAAAGAAAAAAAAAACTAAGAAAACCAAACGAGAAGTTTCTCTCTTATGTGTCCTACTCTTCTTCTTCTCAGGGAGCACTTCCTTTTGATGATGAAAATTTAAGAAATCTGTTGGAGAAAGTGAGTTTATAGTACTTACTGGTCAGAGTGCTTACTATGATTTTACTTTTTAATCCTTTGACCCAAGAGTGACCAGGATCTAATTTCTCCTTACAATATCACCCCAGAGTCAAACGTTAAGTTTACAAGAATAAGGGAAACGATCACCAACTAAAGAAGCTCTTGATTGTTAAACAAATTCTCCTTGTCAGTACCTCATGAATTGTGTAGAGGACAGTATGGAGAAGATGCATATACTGATGTTAGGGTGTAAATGGTTACTGGGATTTAAGAAATTTCTCTGCCAAGTAGGACCAGTCCAGTTACTTTGGTTACGAAAGTTCAGTCGTTGTTTTCCAAAGCCGCGTTCTAAACAGTCAGTTCATCATTATGTGAACGTTGATTTTTATGAGAAGTAACAAAGTTGTATAAGGCTTTGATTGGAGACATTTTTTTTCGCTCAAAAAAAATTCTTTCATGAAGATTGGAAAACTTGAAGTCCATCGACTGTGTAATACCGCAGCCTCAAAAAGTTTTCGTTTAGACACCTAATTCTAAGTCTCTCACGTAACGCGGTAATGATTAAATCGAATCCCCCTCCCACGCTCTCTCCCAAACAACGTTGGATTTTGTGTGCCTTGTAAACCGTACCGAAACAAAAGGGAGAGGTTATTCTATATATACGCCAGAATCGGCAAAAAGGGGTCTTTTGTAATATATTTGGGTACAGGATTTGTTTTCAATAACTTTCCCAAGAAATTTTGACCTCCATGGCATGTTTGTCTTCTTCCAGGTGAAGAGGGGACATTTTAGCATCCCAGTCTTCATACCAACTGATGTTCAGGACATGATCCGAGGGATGATCAATGTAGACCCAGCGAAAAGACTTACAGTTGAGTAACAATGTCTGTTGCCCTGATAATGATGTTGATAAATCGTGAGGGAAATCATCTTATTTCTGAGCTTACTAGAGTGATACTGATGGCGTAATCCGTGTTGTTTTGTAGATGGAGGATGTGAAGAAGCATAGTTTTCTTAACAGGTGGGTGATTTTTGGCGCAAGGCAATAGCTCGCTATTCGATTGAGTGTCTTAAAACCAAAACCAGTTAAAACAATCTCAACAGGTAATCAGAAAATAGGAAAATACCTTTAAGAGCCAATGATTACTCAAAGTAAAGCCAACCAAACTGCCCAAAGCGCGGGAAAACGCGGGTGACCAAGTCGTGATTGCTTTTAGTTTTACATCTGATTGGTTGAGAAAGGGGCACGAGTTTTCTGAACCAATCACAGAGGGAATTAAAGTAAAACTTAATCAATCCAGGATAATTTTCAGCACTCAAATGAAAATTGCTCTTAGACTAAAGATTATGTCATTGCCAACGAAAAATACACGATGGTGGAGACAGAGATTGAAATTCCTTAGTGGAGCCGCTCATTATATTTCTTTGTTTACACACCTTTTTCCGATTGAATTCAATGTGTGTGATCTATTTGCAGTTTTAAAGATGAACTGCCTTTGGAGCCTCACGTTGTCGACATTGTCAAGGTACTTCCCTTTTTGCCCTTCGCTGCAAAACGTAGTGGAAAGTGCTAATTCGTACAGAGGTCAAACGTTGGGCATGCTTAAGAGGATCAATTTTGAAGATATGTGCGCTAATGTCCCTGCAAAATTTACACACTCTGAAGCACGCTATTTCGCCTCTACAACGTTCGCATAGGCGAATACGTTTTACAGCTGTGTTTACACGAATAATATGCGAATACGTTTTACAGCTGTGTTTGGACGAATACTAATCGGCGCGATAACTAGAGATTGTTTTTAGAAATGGGCCTACGCCTCAAGTGGCGAAAATAGCGCCAAAAACTGGATTTACTCCATTATTTTATGAATACTTTGTCAGTAATAAAACCTTTGCATTTAGTTATACCAGTGATTATGAAACGACGCGGTTATCCGGTGTGACTATCATTGAGTGTTATTGTGGGTAAGATTATTGTAATGATGATTATATGTAATGTTTTCTTTTCCATGCAGACGGAAGTTATCCAAAGTAAAGATGAAATTGACCCTGATGTGGTACACAGTATGTCTTCCTTGGGCTGTTTCAAGAATAGAGAGAGACTTCTTCGTAACCTCTTGAAGCAAGAGTAAGTCCTTTTGAACGGTTGCCGTAGAATTTCATGGGAATAAAAGTTTTAACCCTTTTACTCCCAAGATTTGATCGTTAATTTACCATTCCAGCTCTAACCTTCAATTTTAGGGGGCCCTTGCTCAAGAAAGGGGACGTAAGAACTGAAAAAGTGTTGGAACGTTACTGTATAGTCTTGTCAGTGAGTAAGCGAAAAAGAGAAAGGCGGTTATGACAGTGAGAGGCTATATAGCAGCCGTAACATCAATCCTGTTGTCAATTATGTTGCGAATGATTAAATCAAATGAATTTAGTACTTAGAAATTGTAGTTATCCTTGGGTGCAATATTTTATGCCCCATATGACGCTAAGACTTAAATTTAATGCGGCATTTTCGGTCGATTTGCGTAAATTCCGCAAAGCCGCGTTTAGGAAGAAACCCTGAAGTTGGATTCATTTATCCTTTAGAAAGACGATAGAAAAAGTCATCTACTTCATGCTACTGGAGAGGAAAGAGAGATCACCGACTCACGAGGATTCTGCAGTGGCAACGATAAAGAATTTCAAAGAAATTTGTAAGGTTTTCTGCTTGGCAATAGTGCAATTTTCATTTAAGTGTCGTAAGCGATCTGAGATTGTTTTGGTTTTATTGTACTACGTCGTATGATTGGTCCGGAAAAACTCGCGCCATCTCAACCAATCAGAGGCAATAATAAACCAATGGCGACTGAGTCTTTGTTCAGTTTATCTGACGTTGCTTTAAAATTCCCAGTAGCAACTTCTGACAAATCATTTTTGTCCTAACAGAGTTGGGCAAAACATGGAGTCGAAATTAACTTCATGATAGGTCTATTATGTGTTAGTGCGCTTGCTGTTTGTAGTTTAGAAAAGGAAGAGTGCAGATGAATTCAGAATTTTAGCCTTTGAAGAGGTGTGTTTCAGATTTTGTTCTGACCCACGTTGTAATACGGTTGTTTTGTTTTATAGTGGAAGACGCCCCAAGGAAAAGAGTCGACTCCTGTGGATCTCCCAGATTACAACGACCAAGGTCAGTATATTCACGAAAAGGGTATTAACGACACCGATGACGGTTCACGAAAACTCGAGATGTATAGCGCATCTCGAATAAGTGTCGTGGGATTAAAAGCAATTTTAACACGATAACCAATTGGATGAAAGATTAATGACTCGAGGAACCGGTGAGAACTGAGGGTTGATTATTTAAAGTGCTGGAAGTGCAGGAAATCGGGAATGGACCCGTTGATTATTTGACTTTTGAAAGGCTGGCGCAAGTTTTGCAAACCAAACCCGCAAAATTATCACCCTTGAAAACCTTTGTAGTCATTGCCATGTGTTCCATCCTCTGTCAACAGAAAAACGTCTCTGACCGCTTCACCGCCTGTTACTCCAAGGACAAGAGCTGAAACCTATTCCGGGGTCGTAAGGTAGAGCTGTTTGACAATATAGCAAAAGCCTTATCGAATCTTTACTTAAAATGGAGCAATGCTGTCAGTTTTACTAGACCTTTTAATTTCGATTGTCAAATGACTGCAGCCCGCGGAGGCGCATTCGGGATCGACTGAAAAGTTGATCTTGACAACCATAGAATCAAAGGAACGTTTTCCCTCAGATCATGGAATTAGGAAAATATTCGCGATAGATTATAACCTGTTTAGTGCGTATTTGTCTTCATGTGTTTTCTGTATCTGCTCGTGTATAATCTTTACTTTTTTCATTTGTTTTATTCCCCTCCATGTGTGAGTACAACTAGTTTACAGGTGCACCAGGATAATCATTATCAATAGAGTAGTACACATGCGCATTATGGGGCATAGTCAATAAAGGTACAGGATTTTGTACAATGTGGTACAAAATTAACCAATAGTTTGGCCAGATTGCCATCCAAGATGACGATTTGATTTGTTAAATTCTCATCATCTCGATTAGGTCAGTAAAAACCGGTTAGGCGGCAACACACCAAGGCAGTGCACACTAGGTGGTTCAAAATCCTTTCACCCGATTGGTTATTCATAGTGCCTACGTATACTACTCAATAGCACTGTAGCATTCACACCGCACTGAGAAGGAGTGTTCCAGTTCGCATGGTGCTTGTTTTATCCCAGTTAACGATACTTACTCGTGTTCTGTTTGTTTCCCTAGAGAGGTGGACCTTCTCCATCATGGAACTTTGTCTGCCATTGTTTCACTGCTTTTTATTTCAATGTTTGTAGTCCTTTGGTGCAAGTGAGTCCCCGACATCAGCCGTATACCGTGCATCAACAAGAAAGTCCCTTGTCTACCCCTCCTGAATCACCCACGCACCACGCCACCACACCACCAGGTAGCCCCTGGCGGACACGACTTGCCACTTTTAAGAACGCGATTGTGAGCTCGCCAAGATTCCACAGAAAAAAGTTATCGAGTAGGTATTGAGATGCCAGATAAGGTGAACTGTGTGTAGACGTCTTCTATTTTGTTTCCTTTCCTTCTCTACTCTACTATATATTAAGCAATGGAAAACTGTTTTAATGTTTTAAACTGTTTTTAATCATTACGTGGTAATAATCGCATTTCGACTGAGTTTGGTAAAACCAAACCAAAGTAATCATAAGGGAAAAAACATCACAAGAAGCTAACGCGAACTCAAAATAAAAACAAGCAATCGCCCCGAGGCACCTTAATCCTTTACACCTTAACATCAGTATTTATATTCTTCATACTGTTCACTGTACATCTACTGATGCGCTGACAAGGAGAATTGGTCTAACAATCAAAGAGTTTCTTTAGTTGGTGATCATTTCCTTTATTCTCATGACCTTTAATGTGTGATTTAGGGGTGATATTGTAAGGAGAAATTAGATGCAAATCACTCTTTGGAGTTAAAGAGTTACCACGCGAGGAACCAAGTCGCGATAGGTTTTGAGCTGCGGGCTAAAATTTGCGCAGTTGTAGCCCTTGAAGGGAACTTCATTTAGTTCGAATTGAACGACGTCTAGAATGTAAACATTTTTACCGTATAGTGAAAACACAAACCAGCAAGGGGAGGGGGAAAAAACAGCTTTGGCATTTGTCTTTTACTCAGCGTATAAGTTGCGTTATAATGGTCAGCGATTGTTAGATTTTATCGTTATCTTGTTGGTAAAGAAGAATTTTGACTTTATTTAGTTGGCTGATAGACATAGCACAAGTAGTTTTCAACATCTGAGCTAATGTGTCTTCCGACTTCACGCTAAGAAAACAAAAGTAGACAAATTGATGTAGACTGGCCCAACAAGGAAATCTTCTTTCCTCTAATGAAAGGAAGAGTGGTGGCTTAGAATACTATTGAATGATAAACTTGTTTCCGTCTGTTGTTTCTTAGATTGCGTAGAAAACAGCCCAGTGTCCGCCTCGCCTGACTCGTCTCCTGAGTAAGTTTCAGTGTTTAAACTCTGCATCTTTGGTAAAGTCGAAAGACAAATAATCTCACCCCCTTTTCGCCCCCGTTTTTTCGCCAACAATATTGTGGTGAATTGAAAGATTGGTCATTTATCCGAAGTGAGGTGTTAACAGAAAACTGAAAGCTAGTTTTAGAAATTCCCTGTCGATTTTCGGCCTTTGAAAAATGGGCTAACTGAATTTTCTGAGCCAGATTTTGAAAAATTAATTATTTAAACGTTATGCGAGTGTCAACTAGGGAAAGCACAAGGTTAGGAAACGAACGATTTGTTCGTTATCATTGCTTTAGTTTAATAAACGTTTTGCATCTTGTTGGATGAATTTAGTGGATGAATTTAGTGGGGGGTTATATTCTTTTACACTGTTTCTAAACGTGTACTGAGGTGATTTTTCTCTTTTTCTTCATTTGTTTATTTATTTATTTATTCATTTTTTCATTCAGCATCGTTAAACGCTCATGGTTTGGTCATTTAGTGTTAGGACACCACAACTCGCACTCGAAACACGAGGTAAGACGAGTTTTAATTTATATCTCAATGATGTAGAGTTAATTGAGAGTTGATGTTGCACCAGTAAGTTTTCAGTCAGTATAATTTTAGAACAAAACTTCCTTTGGAATGTTTGCTTGTGTACACAAAATCCTTTGCTCCTTACATATGTATGTATACTCTCCATTCTGTTTTCTTACATTTCCTATGGTTCTGACAAGAATAACTTGTTTAACAATCAAGAGCGTCTTTTGTTGGTGATCATTTCATTTATTCTCAAAACCTTAGTGTTTTATTCAGTAGTGATACTGCGAGGAGAAATGAAATGTTAGTCATTCTTTAGGCTTTCGCGTTCCGCTTTGATATACTTATTGTTCAAACTGATACCAATTCCTCTTCTTTTGTTGTCCTTTTAGCCTTTCTTTATCGTCACAAGAGAAAAGCCTTTCAGCACTGTTAAAGCGGATGTTGTCCATGCATTTTTATCAGTGAGTAAAACTTGAATGTCGGTAGAACTGTTTTTCTTCAAAGCAATTTTCAAAAAGTGTCATTTAGAAATGCGGAATTCCTTTGTTTTTGCACTACTTGGCTCTGTCCTCGATCTGGAAACCTCGTACCACGGTCTAATCCAATCAGTTATGAAATTAAAACCGTGAATGTCTTGGTCACCAGTGTCTAAGCACTCCTATACAAGGAGATTGGCTTTTGTTTGTTTTGCTTGTTCTGGTTCTCATGTCCGTCATTCTTACTTTGGTTTTAGCTCTCCGACAGTAACCAAGTATAGGTGACTAAAAGGCGGTTTACACGGTAGGAAAACCCGGGGACGGACCCGCCAAGAAAGAAGTACGAGCCCAAAATTTGGTGCAAACTGTCAACAATATGTTTTTTTAGAAACGTACCTATCTTTCTTAACGTTTTGGGGCCAAAGGCAACTATGGCCTCAAAACGTGAAAGAACCTGGCTCCCTGCCACTCCCTTGATATTTGACAGGTCCATACCTGATTTTCCTGCCTTGTAAATGGTCTTTAACTGATACCTGTTTCTGTGTGTAGCAGCCATGATTCAATATCAGTGGCCGATTAAGCCGTAATGTTTCAGTGAACTGAAAATGAGTAACTGGTTTTGTAGGTCAGCCATTTAACTCACTCCGTTCTCTCACAAAACGGCTTTAAGGCAGAATACAAAAAACCAGGAGGTATGTTTGGACAGGTGTTAATGAATTTCAGTAATTGTATTGTTAGGTTGGAAGAAGTTGTAGTCTTTCTGTGTCCCCCCCACCCCTCCTACTCTCTGTCGCTGAATGAAGGCATGAGATCGTCCTTTAGAAATACCACTGTCCAGCTGGAGAAGATGCGGTTTTTTAGTCGATATGTAAACATTTGAAGATACAGTTCAGTTTCTCTGTAATGTTGAAACCAAACACCATCTTTATTGTGCCTGATTCGTGAAATCTTTTCCTCTGGATTTCCCTCCCTTTCAGGCTCTCCATTTGGAAGAAGCTATTAAACCCCTGGTTTAATGTGCTTTTTCTCTTTCATTCTCCTAGGAAAGACCATGTTTAATAAGGCAGTCCGCATATCTGTGAATATAAGTCCGACAGACCAAAGTAGAGCAGATAAAAGTTCCGTTCACACGGTCTCGATAGTTCTTGAGTCAGGTTGGTATTGAAGCTTAACTTTCTCACTTCTAAGATCTCAGTAGTGATTCTCCTTACTGTTTGCCATGCAATTCTTATGATGTTAGTTCCGAGAATTTGGCGTTGGATCAACTAATTATCCCCTAATTGATATTTTTCTTTATTCTCATCACTTGTCTGCTCGATATTGTGTTAATATTTTAAAGAGAAATTCTGTCTTGGTCACTCATGGGAGGAAACTGCCAAGATTCTCGCCAATGTCATGGCGGTTTCATTTCAAAGCTACATTTTGCCGCCATACTTTGTGCAAGGCTGCTCTTTCGTTTTTTGCCTTGTTTTGGGGTCTGGGAGCGAGTTTGAAGATGTAAAAAGAAAGGATTTAGCCTCTTGTGCTGACGGTTGTTTTAGGCGCTCGCTTAGAATAAAGGCAGCGGTCATTTGGATAAGCCGCCGGTCAAAACGCCCGCGAAACAGCTCGCTGCCGTAGGCTACAAGAGGCTTTGGTACGATAATCGCGAGATTAGCACTGGAACAAAAAATATCATTTGCCCAACCAAAATGTTTTGCACTCAACCATTTCTTATCGTAGTAATTAAACCGAGTGTCTTTTCTAGATGTTGCAAGACGTGCATCAAACAAGGGACATTTATTTCCAATCATTTCCCGATAAATGACAAATTCCCAAGTTTGTAAAATTACTTTAGCTTAGCTTTCTTGCAAAATCAGAGGATGAAAAACTAAGTGTTTAAGGTAACTTTGTAAAAAATGAAAAAAGAAACTTATTGATAAAGTTTGCCATGTAAAAACGAAAGCGTTTTCATTTATCTTTGGCGATCGTGACTTGAATTCATTGAGTTATTAATATATTAACACTGTTTTGACTGTAGATGTTTCCGGTATTAACTTGCTTGTGTTTTTTAATTTAAGTCAGTATTCTAGAAAATCGTTGATAAATTATTTACACGTCGCTGAAACAGATTGTCAACTGTGCTCGATATGTTTTTACCGCAAAGCGACCGTGTGTTATTTCCATCTGTTCTCGTCGAAATGATTAATACTAGGCTGACGATCAAGAATATTTTTTACTCTCTAGATAAAGACGTCACGCCATGTGTACCGGCGTGACGTCTTTACGGGAGACCGCTGGTAGAGTGCAGTAACCTTTGCTAGTAATGTGATCACGGACGATAACATTTCATAAGGAAATAGACTATTACACCTTCTTTTCTCGAAAAAAAAGTTAGTCTCCTAATTTCAAACAATGAGTGCTTATTATAAGCGAGAGGTTCTCTACTGAGCTATCAAAGTCTGACGGATTTAGAGGCTAACTCTTTTTCTGTCTTCTTAATTGTAGGACCGGTTCATCGTTTTAAGAAATTATGCGAGAAACTCCAGCTCATTCTCTTGTCGAACGCAAGACGAAGTACTAGTAACTGCCGCGCGGAAGAAGAGAACGCCGACGAAAAGTCTCTATCAGATGACAAAAGGTCTTGTTCTGAAAACTCTAAGCTACACCTCGCTCAGTTATCAGATACTGAAAGTGAAGGCGAGCTTTTGGAAGGTAAAGACAGACCCAGAAAAAACGAGAACACTTTGAAGAAGACCGTTAATGGAGGCAATAGTGAAAAGCTAGTTTGAAAAATCAAAATATGGAAAAGATGGAGAGGGTATCCTTAACAAAATCGAAACCTAGACGAAAGTCAAGAAATTTGTGGGAAGAACGAATTGAAGAAAAAAGAGAAAAGAATTGTCAAGAATGAAATTACACACAACCACTGAGGGTGTAGATCCACCGTAATAAATGCAGTTAGTATCAAGGAATTTTAAAATTGTTGATGAAAGCGAAGAAGCGCACTCAGTATTTAACAGTCGAATGATTCAGTGAGGGTGAAAATTATTTATTTATTACTGTAAATCCACCACAATTGAATTAAGATTTTTTATGAAAACTATTTCAATCTTAAAGGGAAAAATGTACGAAACCTACTGTCGAAAACGGACAACAGGCGGATCGAATTCAATTAGAGAAAAGGCAAGCACCTCGTAACCTTTAACATCGCAATGTTTGATGAGTGGTTCCCAATTGTAGGTGTTATACATTTCTGTGTACAGTGAAACCGCTATCAAGCGGACGCGGACACTAAAATGAATTGTATTTGAATAATTTCGATTGTTAAAAACCTCTATTCAGCAGACATCCTCGGAACATTTTCTAGTGTCCGCTACAATTTATTTTAGTGTCCGCGTCCGCTTAACAGAGGTGTCCACTGAATTGGGGTTCGTTATAAAAGGAAATATAAGACGTTTGTTTCCGAATTCGGCTTGGTGTTCGCTTACAAGAAGTGTCACTGTAATAATTTAAATCGAGATAGAACTTACTTGCCGATCCATGTGTCTGTTCTCATCACCTCTTTGTTCGGTGCAGTTTTGGAATCGTAAGGGGAAGCTAATAACGTGTACCTCTGACGATGGGTAAAAGTGACGATGATGATGAGTATGTTGAATACGTTGATGGTTACGACGATGATGACGTTGTTGGTGACGTGAGTGATGACTGCGATGGTAACGGTGATGCTGATGAGTGATTATTTCGTATGATGTTGACGTTGATCGTGACGTCAGTGATGACGATTATAGTAGTTATTATGATGACGTTGACGATAATGTTTATGATGTGATGATGATCATACTTCCCAATTGAGACGCATTTCTTACTGTCAGAAATGATTATGACGTTGACAATGAAGTATGATGACGACAGCTACGTCTATCAGCAGTACTGTAAAATGTTACAAATGAAATTTCCAAGTGGATGGCTCGATAAAGTCTATCGGAGGTTTACTTAGAAGTTAACAGTACGAGATATCTTTATGATTCAATCCTAAACCCTTTCATGTTCAGATGTTAAAAAAAAACTTGGTTGTCTTGTACTATCCACTTCGATTTGATAAAATTTTACAACTAATTATCTCAGGACAGGTTGCGTGAAAAAGCCTCTTTTTCTATTTAATTAGGTCTACCTAGTTTAACGAGCTTTATTTAAAAGATGGCATAATTTTGAAAACCGAAGCAGTTTGTCCCGAACTAGACTTTGTTATTCACTCGTTTTGTAAGAATTTCACACTGGTAATTCTTCGACCATTTTTCGGAGCCTTACGCAATCACCACGGCGACGCAATCACCACGGCGACGCTGAGAGAACTGGTGTTTAAAAAATGAACTTAAGTTCCCCTTTGCGAGTTTCTCTTTCATCTTGCTATCTTTAATGGCGTCAGACCTCATCTTCAGCGTAGGATCTAAAGGAGTCGTTCGAGTTCCAAGTGGAAGCTTGAATGATTTGTTGTAGGAGTTCCCATTCTTGGACCACGCAATATTGTGTGATTGCATGTTTTATCGCAGCAGATAGATAGGAATTGTACAAAGATCTAAAAGGCGTGTGTAGAGCTATTATTCTGTCCATTAAACTAGGTTTCATCGCGTTCTTGTTGCCATTGCCGTCCTGGTTTGCCTAAGGTTCCCAAAGAGTGAACTCCGAGATCATCGTTGTAAACGTGGTTGACTTTACACCTATGTTGCCAAATGAAACGGCTCTGTGATTCATGCAAGTTTTCCGCCGAAAGTGTTAGCACCTGGTAGCTAAATTTGGCAGACAAAAATTTATTCCCTTTTTCCAAATTTCCATGTGATGATTCATTTGAGAGGATACAATTGCTTTGTTTTATACAAAGCCCCTTATATTTCGCTGCGTGTGGTGGAATAAATAATCTTAACCTCCTAGAGGAGTCATCTCCTGATGAGTATTGAGTGACGACTACAGTGCTGGAACGTTTGTCAAATTTGTTTATGGCGCTTCTAGGAACACCTTAACCCTTTAAAATTTGGGTTTGAAGGTGCTCGGAGTTCATCCTCCCTCATTATAACCAGTCAGTCTACTCTTTGTAATTAGTTCACTCGTACCCTATGACTCTACTCAATCTATTGTAAACATTTACTCAATTCAAATAACTTCATTTGTAATCGTATTTAATAAAGTATTTACGAATTTTAGCAATTTGACTTTTTGTTTTCCAAAGGACCTTAAACAATTTTTAATAACGTGGTGGTTTCAGAGAAAGCTCAATTCCGATTAAAAGTTTATCTGATTCAACTTCAAGAAAGGTTTGCCGAAGGACTTCGACTTTTGTAGAACGAGCTACAAGAATCTGTTGCTACGGCTCGTCCTCTCATTGCGCATGCGCTTCCCAAGCCCCCATTCCTTTGGCAGATGAGGATTCACTAAGGCCTTTCATTAACTTTTTCTCTACGTGGCTGCCGATTTTGAGGTAGACCGCTGTGCCCAGAAAAGAGACCGTAAGGCGAAACCCAAATACGTGACCTGCTCGCCAGCTCAGCAGACGGCGGTAAAAGGTATTATTGGCAGCTGTAGACCGCCGGTAAAACAGACTTTTTTCGAAACCCCTGGATGAATTCATAGAAATTTCCCCCTGGGTTTGAACTAGATCGCTAGGTAAATTCATACCAAATTAATCTCAACAGTAAGGGCATGTGGTCATTTAAAATTGAAAGGCTTTGAATAAATACTCTTGCACAAACACGCAGTAGATTTTATAACTTCGTGCTTTCCGTAACTACTCTGAAAAACAAGAATGTGAAATTGCCAAACTTTGCGTCTTCAGGGAGGAGAAATTGGGACAGGAATAATTGACGTTTCTATTTGGAACTCGAAGTCGCCTTCAAATGAAATCAGGCCAGAGAGGTTGCAGGTCTGGCCCAGTTAGAGGTGGTAAACACATCGAGTCACAAGAACGCAAATTACTTTTCAGAAACAAAATGATCTTTATAACAATGCATCTCTTATGTGTCGTCGCCGACTCTGATTGAACTCCCTATGTTTGTAGCGTTTCCACTGGAAACGAAATTTAATTACGTATAAACTTTCTTTTAATGGTCTCGAACCATAATAATGGAAACATTTGCTCAAAATTACAAGAATTCAAAGTTGAGCTTGTACGAGGACGAGACACTAAACTGGGTTATTGTTCGTTAAAGAGTCCTCCATAAAATTTTAAAAGAGGTGACTCTTTATGATTATCGAACAACGTTCGTAATTGTATAGGCCTGGTGTTATTATTACTATCAAGTCAGCTTGAATTATGCATGTCTATCCTTTCATTTTCTTGCCCACTATTAAAAAATTCTTAAGATTCTTTTCTTAATTTGTAACTCCCTCATTTGTTATTGAAATTGTTTTTAGTTAAGATTTTTAAAACAAAATTTTACCCTTTAATGAAGTCTCAGTTATTACTGGTTGTCACCAGTGTGCCATCATGAATTATTCCTACTTGTAAGAAGTTTCTAGGAAGGGTTAATTATGCAAAGGAAAGAAGTTTGATAAACGACGCTAACCTGGGGCAGAAAAGTCAGAATAAATTTAGCAAAACCTTTGTACGCTGGTTTGGTGATTTGTCATTGAAATTATTTCTAGTTAAGATTCTTGAAACAGAGTGTTTACACTTTAAATAAGTCTCAGTTATTACTGGTTATCACCAATGTGCATCACGAATTTTACACTTTCCTACTTATTTGAAGTTTCAGGGAATGCATTAATCATGTAAAGAGGTCTGGCAAACGACGCTAACCTGGAGCAAGAAAGTCAGAATGAATTGAACAAAACGTTTATATGTTGGTTTGGTAAGTTCATGCTTCCTTTTTGGGTCTTACTTTGGGTTTGAGCTAAGTAAACGCACGAACCATTTTAAATAGTTAAAGTTGGAGAAAGTGTTGAATAGCTATCGATTTTTACCACGCACCACACGGAAATAATGAAGAGGATTGCGAAATTCGGAATTCCTCAGTCCATGGAAAGTAGTAGACATTATTTGCGTAGCAATAAGAAATACTGTCGCATTTGTTCTAAAATTCGATATTTAAACAGAGCATTGTAAATTAATGGTTTACAAGATCAGAGGTGATGTGAAGAATGATTCTCTTAATGCAGGTGCTTAACTGTTTTGCGCGTCCTTCACTAATGATCAACTGCTGTGGTGATTTAGTGTTATATAAATGTCCCTTTTCTTCAATAGCAAGTCCATTGCAAGTCTTAAACGGAAGGAAAATTGTATAGGTAAATCCTTTGAATGCAACAGATCCTTTCTTAAAGTATTATAGATATCAAACAACTAAGGGAAATTAATGAGTAAATTAAAAAATATATTCAATCGAGGTAACACACTGATAACAAGTTTGGCCCTCGAGAGATGTTGACAAGTTACATACGACGAAGCTTCTTTGAAATTTCAAAGGCAGCTTTTACTTCTCTTCCATGCAGCCCCAAGGCAAGGATTTACTACAACATCATAGGTCGGATTTGAGTAAATATTTAAGAAAATAAGAGTGAAATAACACTGTTGAAAGATAAGTGAAAACACTCTGGGAAGATAAAGTGCTGTGACGGAAAATATCAAAAATGTTACTGTAAGCACTAATTAGAAATTTTTTCCAACAAAAAAGGCTTTCATCCTCTTGAGGCGTACAGCCCTGACTGTAAACGGTAGAGACTACTGAGACTGTCTGTTTGTCGTGTTATTGTATCTTTCTGGGTTTCTCGTTTGCTTATATTTCCCTGATTAAAGGTGATGTATCAGATAGTATAATTTTTCAGCCTAAATTTAGCACACTAGTAACAATTTTAAACAGCCTTTCAGCAATAACATCCAATCGGTCAGCGGTCAGCGAGTATGATGGCCGCGTGTTTTGCTGGCTCTGCCAACTTGAGATAATTTCTTGCTTTTTTCACGTAAATCTTACTTTTTCTTTTACAAACTTAACAAACAAGTTAAGTTGAAGCATTATGTATCAAAAGCAACACTTATTAGTGTGTATTATTCTCTTATTTATCCTTACCTTACTTATGCTTGTACACTTTGGGGAAATAATTATAATGCTCCATTGTCTCAAGTCATAAAGTTACAAAACAAAGCGGTTCGAGTTATAAATGATGTTCCTTTAATGGAATCAATAACTCCACACTATACATCCTTAAGTCTTCTGAAATTTCCTGATATTGTTAAACTGAAAACATGTATGCTTTTTTATGATTATTTCCAACTTGTAAAGTTTCCTAATATACCTGTTTCATTAGTATCTGAACTATGTAATTACAGTACCCGCAGTGCATCATCCAATCAAGTTGCAATACCTTTATTTTGAACTAATCTTAGGGGATTTTACCCCAGCATTATTGGAAGTTTCTTTTGGAACGATATTCCGCAATCCATTAGGGGCAAACCATCTAAAAAAATGTTTGGAAAAGCACTTTTGCCCTGGTACCTTGCTCAATACTGATGAAACATTATCTCTTTTATAATTTTCTGAGCTATTTTGTCGTTTTTCCTTTTTTTTTTATTAAAAATCTCAAGTCCTTTGTTATACATAACTTTAAGGGGCACAATATTAGTTTATCTAGATGTGCCCCTCTCCTCTCCTTCAATATACAATGTAATTCAATTTAAGTGTTGTAATTTCTGTTCTACGCATTTTTCCTTCATAAATCTTTATCTGATACTAAGTTATATACAGAGAATCTTAAAGACTGATCCATGGGAAGAAGACGATATTTTTAGGACGACATTATTGATTGGTTCGTGTCTCTTCATCTCACAGGTCAGCCGGAAAGTTTTTGCGCAAACTCCGTCAATGGCAGCACAACCATTTACAACTGTACCAATCTATTGTACATGCATCCTACTCCTTTTGAAACAAACAAACTTGTTTGGCTCAACAACAGGTTCTGAGATGAACAACACGTCATCTACTGCGAATTTTGAGCCAGGCCTCACAACTACAGGAAGACAAACATCGCAAATTGCTACTGCTGTCGCTTTTTCAACGTTTGTATCACAAACACCATCATTGTCTTCATCGCATAAAGCAAACGCTTCCCTAAGTGTTGGAAGTTACAGTAACAAAGCGAGCACAGCAATTATGTCAACACTGTTGTCTTCCGCAAGCCACACATTAAAGGCAGCGAAAAGTGTATTTACGTCAAATGCAGTAAAGCCAAAATCATCAACTTCTGCAGAACATGCAGCCGACCCCACCACAAGTGGTGTTCAGTTCCCAAACGTATCTACAATGAAAAGGCTACCATCGGACACTACGACAGCTGTTGTCTTATTTTTTACAGTGACATCAACTGAAAACCATACATCAGCTGCTACTACCTCAAAAATTGCCCCATCAACGACCGTAACACCAAAAACATTAACTTCTGCAAGTCAAGCATCAGATGCTATCACAACTGTCGTTCCAACCTCGGCAGTAACAACAAAATCGGTAGCATCTGTTAGTTTAACAATACACACTACCACAAGTGTTGTTCTCTCAACGGAAGAAACATCAAAATCATCAAAGTCTACTAATCTGGAATCAGATTCTACCGCAAGTTATGTTCCCTCCAAAACACTTACATCAAAACCGTCAAAGTCTGCTATTGAGGCATCGGATGTTTCTTCAAGTGTATTTTTATCCACAGCAGGAACATCAGAATCATCAACTTCTGTAATTTCTACATCAGACAGTGCTACAAGTGGATTGTCCTTGGAATTGACCTCAAATTTACCACTTTCTTCAACACAGACTTCAATTGGCACTAAAAATGTAGTTTCCTCCGAAGTAATCAGACCGGGATTATCATACTCTGTAGTTCAAACATCACACGCTACTAAAAGTGCTACTCCATCTTCGGAAAAAACATCAACTCCCGTAAATCAAACAATACGCACTTCTGCAAGAGTTGTTCCATCAAAATCGGATTTTACTACAATTAATGTTCCCTCTAAAGTATTAACATTGAAAGCGCTTCTTTCTGCAAGTCAGACATCAGATCGTTCTCCCAGCGTTGTTTTAACCACAGCTTCTGAAGTTCGCGCAACAGACCCCACTGAAACTGTTGCTCCATCAACGCCAAACTCATCAACTTCTGCAAGTCAGGCATCAAGCATAACTTCCTCTGAATTGTCAACTATCCTAAGTTATACACCAAGTGCAGCCACAAGTGTTGCAATACCAGCAAGAGTAACACCATTAACCTTTTTGAGCCGGTCATTGGTTTCTGCTACAGGTGTCATTCCATCGATGACAACAAAATCAGAATTATTAACTTCTGCAAGTCAGGAAATAGGTTCAACTACAAGTTCTATTCCTGCCACATCAACAACAACAAAATCGTCAAGTTTTGAAAGTCATGTATCAGATGCTTCTACAAGCCTTCTATTATTCACAGTAAGAACATCTGAGTCATTAACTTCTACAAGTCATACATCAAACAATACTATAAGCGCTGTTTCATCAAAGGAAATGACAAGACTATTCACTTCTGCGACTCAGACCCCCAGTGGCACCACGAATGTTATTCCAAAGAAAGCGGAGTTTTCAACCCCTTCAGTTCAGGCACCAGACGCTACCGACAGCGGTGCTTCATATACGGCAAACTCATTAACCTTTGCGAGTCAGGCATCTAACACTGTTATATCTTTTTATCCATTTACTGCGGTAAACTTCGAATCGCCAACACCTGCGAGTCATACACCAACGAATTCAGCGAATGCTGGTCCATCAACGCCTAAAACGTCAAAATCATCATCGTATGCAAGTCATGCACCATTCACTACCTCGAGTATTCGTTCATTAACGGCAGTAACATCAAAATCATCAACACCTGGAAGTAAAGAATCAGACACTATTACACATGTTGTTCCATCCACGGCAGTCACAGCAAAAGTATTAGCTCTTGCCTCTGAGGAATCAGATGAAGTCACAACTGTTGTTCCATACACTGTAGTAACATCCAAATCGTTAACTTTAGGTGAAGCATACACCACTACTACAGTCAGTATACCTATGGCAGAACAATCAAAATCATCAGGGTCTTCGAAACAGGAATCAGACACTACTACACGAATAGTTCCTTCTGAAGCATTAACATTAAAAGCGCCAACTTCTGCAAGTCAATCATCAGATGTTTCTTTGAGCGTTGTTTTGACCACAGAGGGAACATCTACACGATCAACTTCTACTATTAATTCAATAGAGAGTACAAGAAGCGTTGTTTTATCTATGGAAGGGACATCAAAATTATCTCTTTCCACATTTCAGACTTTAAAGGGCACCACATATGTAAATTCATCCACAGTACTGAAACCAGAATTTCAAACTTCGAAAGTTCCCGCATCAGACTCTACTGAAAGTGTTGCTCCGTCAACACCAAACTTATCAACTTCTTCAAGTCAGGCATCGAGTGCTACTTCAACTTTTCCTCAAATCACCGCGATAACCTTTGAATTGTCAGCTATCCTAAGTTATATACCAGGCGTTACCACAAGTGTTGCAGTGCCAGCGACAGTCACAGCTTTGACCTTTTTGAGCCGGTCACTGGTCACTGCTACGGGTGTCATTCCATCTATAACAACAAAATCAGAATCATTAACTTCTGGAAGTCAGGAGCCAGGTTCAGCTACAAGTTCTATTCCTTCCATATTAACAACATCAAAATCGTCAAGTTTTGAAAGTCATGTATCAGATGCTTCTACAAGCCCTCTATTATCCACAGTAAGAACATCTGAGTCATTAACTTCTACAAGTCATATATCAAACTATACTACAAGTTCTGTTTCACCAAAGGAAATGACAAGACTCTTCACTTTTGCAGCTCAGACCCCCAATAGCACCACGTATGTTATTCCAACGATAGCCAAGTTTTCAACCCCTTCAGTTCAGGCACCAGACGCTACCGACAGCGTTGCTTCATTTACGGCAAACTCATCAACCTTTGGGAGTCAGGCATCTAACACTGTTACATCTTTTTATCCATTTACTGAGGTAAACTTCGTAATGCCAACACTTGCGAGTCATACACCAACCACTTTAGCGGGTGCTGGTCCATCAACGCCTAAAACGTCAAAACCATCATCGTATGCAAGTCATACACCATTCACTACTTCGAGTATTCGTTCATTAACGGCAGTAACATCAAAATCATCAACACCTGGAAGTAAAGAATCAGACACTATTACACATGTTGTTCCATCCACGGCAGTTACACCAAAAGTATCCGCTCTTGCTTCTCAGGAATCAGATGCTGTTGCAACTGTTCTTCCATACACTGTAGTAGCATCCAAATCGTTAACTTTAGGTCAAGCATACACCATTACCACATTCGGCATACCTATGACAGAACAATCAAAATTGTTAGGGTCTTCGAAACAGGAATCAGACACTACTTCAAGAATAGCTTCCTCTAAAGCATTAACATTAAAAGCGCCAAAATTCTGCAAGTCAATCATCAAATGTTTCTTGGAGCGTTGTTTTAACCACAGAAGGAACATCTACACAATCGACTCCTGCTATTAATTCACTAGAAAGTACTAAAAGTGTTGTTTTATCGTTGGAAGGGACATCAGAATTATCTCTTTTCGCATTTCAGACTTTAAAAGGAACCACATATGTTAATTCATCCACGGTTATGAAACCAGAATCTCAAACTTCTGAAGTTCGCGTATCAGACTCTACTGAAAGTGTTGCACCATCAACGCCAAAATCATCAACATCTTCAAGTCGGACATCAAGTGCTACTTCAACTTTTCGTCAAATCACCTCGATAACCTCTGAATTGTCAACTATGCTGAGTTATTCACCAGGCGCAACCACAATTGTTGCAATATCAGCGACAGTAACACCATTAACCTTTCTGAGCCGGTCATTGATCTCTGCTACGGGTGTCATTCTATCTACAACAACAAAATCAGAATCATTAACCTCTGCAATTCAGGAGCTAGGTTCAACTACAAGTTCTATTCCTTCCATATCAAGAATATCAGAATCGTCAAGTTCTGAAAGTCGTACATCAGACGCTTCTACAAGCCTTCTATTATCCGCAGTAACAACATCTGAGTCATTAACTTCTACAAGTCATATATCAGACGATACTACAAGGGCTGTTTCATCGAAGAAAATGACAAGACTTTTCATTTCTGCAACTCAGACCTCCAATGGCACAACATATGTTATTCCAACGAAAGCGGAGTTTTCAACCCCTTCAGTTCAGGCACCAGACGCTACCGACAGCAGTGCTTCATTTACGGCAAACTCGTCAGCCTCTACAAGTCAGGCATCTTACACTACTACATTTTTTGTCCCATTCACTGCGGTAAACTTTGAATCTCCAACATCTTCGAGTCATACACCAACGACTTCAGTGAGTGCTGGTCCATTAACGCCTAAAACATCAAAATCATCATCGTATGCAAGTCATGCACCATTTACTACTTCGAGTATTCGTTCATTAACGGCAGTAACATCAAAATCATCAACATCTGGAAGTGAAGAATCAGACGCTGCTACCAGTGTTACTCTATCCACAACAGATACATTAGAATCATCAGCTTTTTCAAGTCGGAAATTAGGTGCTATTGCACTTGTTGTTTCATCCACGGGAGTTACACCAAAAAAATCAGCTTTTGCCACTCAGGAATCAGATGAAATCACAGCTGTTGTTCCATACACTGTTGTGACAACAAAATCGTTACCTTCGGGTCAAGCGTACACCACTGCCACAATTGGTATACCCATGGCAAAAGAATCAAAATTATCACGGTCTTCGAAACAGGAATCAGACACTACTATAAGCGTAGTTCCCTCCAAAGCAGAAACATCAAAAGCGTCAACTGTTGTACCATCTATGGTAGTAACTCCTAAAATATCAGTTATTGCAAGTCAGGCATCAGATGCTTCTAAAATTGTCGTTTTATCCACAAGAGGAACATTAGAATCACTAATTTCTGCAGGTCTTACACCAGACCCCACTTCAAGCGTTGTTTTATCCACGACAGTGATTTTTAAATCCTCACTTTCTGCAAGGCAGTTATCAGACGCAAGGACAAGTCTTTTTACATTTAGAGTAGCAACATCAAAATCGTCAAATGCTGCAAGTCAGGAATCGGATGCAACTTCAAGCGTTTTTCTGTCCATGGCGGTTGCACCGATATCATCAAGTTCTGTGAGTCAGGCATCAGTCACTAATAAAAGCGTTTCTCCTTTCAAGGCAGGAACATCAGAATCATCAAATCCTGCAAATCACACTCCAGAAACCACTGCAAATATTCTCCCACCTACAGTAGCAACATCTAAATCAACAACTTCTGTGAGTCAAACGTCAGACGTCGCCAACAGTGTTACTCCTTCATTGACAGTGACATTAAACTCATCGCCTTCTGTGAGTCAGGCAATAGAAATTGCTACAAGCTTTGTTCCGGCTGTAGCTGCAACAACTATCTTGATAAGATCAAGTCAGGCATTGGGTGTTGCCACGAGTTTTGACTTATACACAGCAGCAACAGCAAAGTCACCAAGCCTTGCAATTCAGGCATCAGACACACCTGACGCAAGCGTTTTAACATTTATGGCAGTTACGCTGAAATCAACAACATCTGCAGGTCAGGTAACTGAGGCAACTACAAGAGTCTTTTCATCCGTAGTTGTAACTGTAGATTCATTACATTCTACGGGTAAGGAATCAGATGCTACAACAAGTGTGAATGCATGTATGGCATTATCACTAATATCATCAAGGTCTGAAAGTCAGGCAACATATACTACAACAGGTTTTGATTCTTCCAGAGCAGTGACATCAAAAGTGTCAAGTTCTGCAAGTCAAACAACAGATAAAACAACAGATTCTTCCCCATCTATTGCTGTAACATCTAAGCCATTAGGTTCTGCGCGTCAGGAACCAGACGCCAAAAGTACAAGCGTTGTTGCATTCATAGCAGTAACAACTAAATTTTCAACATCCGTAATTCAAGCAACACGTGTCGATCCATCTATTTCACAGTCATTACGGTCTGCAGGTCGGGCATCAGAAGCTACATTAAGCGTTTTTCCGTCCATGGCAGTAGCGCTAACAACAACGAGTTCTGTAACTAAGACATTAGACGCTGTCAAGAGTGTTGCCTCATCTGTAAAAGTGATACCAGAATCATCATATCCTGCAAGTCATACACCAGGTACTTCTCCAAGAGGTGGCCTCTTCTCAACCACTTTTGAATCTTATATACCAGAGGCTACCACGAGTTTCCCTCATTTCACGTCGATAGCAATAAAATTATCAATTTCTGTAGGACAAGCACCGGATTCCTATGCTGGTGATGCTCCTTCAACAACGACAGCATCAATTTCGTCAATGGTTAGAGGTCAAACACTGGACACTGCGGGAGTAACTTCTACATCTTTAAGCTCTGCTAGTCAAAAATCTGACGAAACTTCGAGAAGTGTTTCGTCTATGGTAGTAAGAACAACATCAATTACTTTTGTTAGCCAAAAATCTGATGCTACTGGAAATGTTGCTGCATTCACGGCAGTACCATCACCTCCATCATATTCTGTAAGCCAAGCATCGCATGCAACTACAATTGTTGCGCCAACAGTAGAAGTAACATCAGTGCTATCACCATCTTCAAGTCTTGCAATTGACGATTCCAAAACAATGAGAATAGTAACATTAGAACCATCAACATCTTTGATTCCTGTTCTTTCTGCCGCAACGAGTGATTCAGAAGAAACACAACCATCATCGACTACTGTTAGTATCGCAGAAGGCGCTACATTGCCAGCTCCGTGTTCTGAAGGAGGCGAGTGTACCGGTAAGATGAGAAGTGTCTTGTTAAATTTCCTTTTTCGCCTTACGAAACGCCGATAATCGGCCACGATTTTAGAGGGAGTTGATTTTCGAGAATAAATGGTTAAATCACGAACGATTTAGTGTAGAAAAAGATAGAGGAACTTTTATTGCAATCATACACAGTTATCGATCCGAGAAAAAACACATCAGCAATTCAACGGTCCGACTTTGATCTTGACAAAATTTGTCCAACCCCAAGACAAGATATAACTTCTTTTGAGGTTGAGGGGCTACGTCTTACCAAGAAATAATGCTTACATAAGAAACAACTCGAAATGTCCCCCATCGAGGTAATTAAGATTACAAGCAGCTGTCACTCACTAACGTTGTTATTTCTAAAAGATGAACTGTAAACGTTCTTTTCACGCTTAGGAATTGACAGATGTATATCAAACCCATGTCAGAATGATGGAACTTGTAAACAACAAGGCCAATCTTATTTCTGTGAATGTACGGAGGAGTATGAAGGGAGAGTATGTGAAAGCGGTAGGAAAACGAGCGCATATAGTTTTTTTATTCATTGCCTTAACATATCTCCTTACTAATTTGAGACGCCCGCCGACTGTATACATCATCTACGTAGAGAGAGACTGTATCCTTAGGCTTTGACTCAAGGGAAATTTTCCATTTTCTCTAAAATGTCTCATGATCAACCATAAACATGTAGTCTTCAAATAGACAGCGCATGACAGAAATTTGTTGCTCTATTGCATGGTTCACATTCCAAACTTCAGCTTTTTGATATAGGTTATTGCAAGAAATAATAGCCTTGCTCCGGAGATGTGGCTTCTAAGCTCAGCCCAAAAAGTGCCTCACCGCTATTAGGGTGTATAGGATCTAACCCTGTCGACAGCCATAGATTACCCGTCACATATACCTCATTTTGATAATGTTCTTATTGTTTACTCCTTCTCTGACACGATGCAACGGTTTCGCTTCACGCGAAGAAGTTTTAATCTTTGCAGGTAGAGTGGATACCAAAAGGTATAGAGTGACAGCGACAGCGAGAATACAGGGGCAATACAAGTCACCCTACAGTAATCTTGGTTCATCCGAGTCCCAAGCCTTTATCAAGAACTTTACGGAAAGAGTGGGTCGTTTCTTGAAGGAGAAACTTCAAGGATATCGAGGAATTGAAGTCACCAGGTTATTAAACGGTTCTGTTGTGGTCAATTTTATCATTTTAACAGAACGCAACTCCGATGCCAACGTGAAAACCATAGAGCTCGCTCTAATGGAGGGAAATAGCACTGGTAAGCTTGGAGTCGTGTTGGTAGGAAACATCATTTTAGAGGAGATTGTAGATGCCTCCAACACAAATAGCCCAACTACCAGCCCTAAAGACAAAGGTAATGATTTCATGATGCATGTGACAAAGGTCTAAGTGCTTTTAACAACGGAAAAGTGTAGTTAGAAACACTAGCTCGACTATACCGATCATTTATTTGTAGTGATCAAAAATAATTATAAAAATTACATTTTAAGATATTTGGAAAACAAACGTAGGACGAGAATAGCTTCTTTTACGTCTTACTTAGTCTGGCTAGTGTAATGCACTAGCAGTGATTGTAATTCTTCCGCGGGGATGCATAAGGAAATTTAGGCAAAGTTTGAGTAATAAACAGAAAGACAGATAGAGGGAGACAGATTGAAAAGAAAAGAAGCCTGCCATACTTCGGACAATTACTCTACTAGACAATGACAAAAAGAAAAGTACAATCGTGCGTTAACAAAACATAAGGGCATCTAACGGTTTTTAGAAGGTAAAGGTTCAAAATCGAACTCTAGTTATTAATACAGTAAATGGTTGGAACCCGGGAGTAACATGTAATAGTGTACTTTGATCGTTCGGGTGAGTGTAGTCCTGAGAAGGACTGTTGTCGGTAGTGGTGACTGACGTTTCGACAACCTTGGCGGAAGTCGTCTTCAGAGTCAAGTGAAGATGACTCAAGTCGGAAGATGACTTCCGCTAAGGTTGTCGAAACGTCAGTCTCAACTACCGACAACAGTCCCTCTTAGGACTACACTCATTTGGACGATCAAACTACACTACTCTAGTTATTAGGAATACAACTTTTTTTACTTTGACTCAACAGGACTTAAAAAGTGGATGATTGTAGTATTTGTAAATGGAAGCATTGTATTACTGTTTTTGCTGATAATTGTCATCCGTTCGGTATGTATACTTATGCAATATCTTTGGTCACGTACTTAATGTACTTGATTTGACGAGAGAGAGTGTGATGTGAATTTAGTCGTCATTTCCAGCTTGCGGTTTATCTTTTCTAAAACGTTTGACGATTCAGGGGTAGTTTATGCCTTCATTGTTAAGGTGACCGTCGCCACGTTTGGGATGTTACCATCTACTACATTTATCTTCTCTTCAGAGAGAATTTAGCGGGCGCTATTAACCCGAGTTGAAGCTTAGTGCGAGCCCAAAGATGCGACTCATTGATCAACTGGTCAGGGTGCTCATTGAACGGGGTAATCGTCTTGTCAAAACGTTGCCCATGATTGGAAATTGTCCCTAAATTTGGCTCCAGTAATGAGATCAGTTCCCCTCTCTATTAGTGAGTGTAAATGGTATAGATCTAGTTCGACCAAAGTGTGAAATGGTGAGTAACGGTGGTGTGAGTATTTTTGGTAACTTGGGTAATTTTCTCTGTGATATTTGTCTCTGCCCTGATTGGTCGTAGAGATACCTTTGCTTTATTTTTAAAGGCAACCAAATTGTGCCTCGGCGTAACTCGCATCGAAATGCATGCAACTTTTTTACCTAATAATTTTTAGGGTTGAGACATCGTTAAAAATATAATAATGCTGATTTATCTTCGTCTTTAAAATCTGCAGTTGAATTGTAGGCGCGATAAAGTACCAGAGAATGACTTCATTACGACGAACGGCGATCAGAAAAGTGGTAGCACTGTAACAAAGCCTGCCAGCGAGGTAATCGTTTCATATTTATGTTGAATTCAGTCAAGATGGGTTAAGAACCTCAACGCCAGTTTAATCGATTGACATGAGCATAACATTTTTCACTGAACAACATTGGTAAATTCCATGGAGGAAATAATGGCTGCTTCTACGAAAGAGTTAAATCGGTTCATACTTAGCAAGTATATAATGAGTTACGTAAAAAGTTTTTGGAGCATCAGCTAAGGGTTAGAGTCGACCCAGTCGAGTACAATTATACTACTTCCAGGGTGGTCTCCGAATCTTACAAATGCAACCAAAACTCGATGTGAGCATAGCAAAAGGCATGAAGTAACGGTATTCGATCAATTCGCCACCACGACGAACTCGCCATCAGAAAACTCCCCACCACTGAGAGTCAAATCGCCACCGGTGGCGATTTGACTTTTTCTTCATGTGTAGCCTATCATATTTATATTAAATGAAAGCTGGGATGTAGAAGTATATTGTGAAAAGGGAAAGAGGCTCAGAGGTTAAGTGTGGCCTCCCAACCGTTAAATGAAACAAAACTTGTTGATGTCACGATAATTATGATAAGTTTGCCTGAAGCGAAACTAGAGTGACTTTAGGGTAATTTAGTATTAGCAACTGAGTTGATAACGTAAGTTGGCCACCGCAAAGAGTTTAAAAACCGATGTTTTGAGCGTTAACCCTTCGTCAGAGCGATTGGAGGAATTGTGGGTTGTGTGTAGGTTTACTTATAGTAAATAGAGCTGCTGGGAATACAGTAACGAGAAAACAAGAATAGATTAGTTGAGTGACGTGCGCTCGTTGATGCCGTGGGGATTAAGAGCGCCGATTTGAAAGATAAATTTTTATTCTAAAGTTTTTCGGCTTTCCGAAATGCCTTGATGTAGGGAAAGGCAGAAAACTGCCATATGCAGCTTAAAATGATTAGGGAGAATAAAGTGTCTAGCGACTGGTTTGGATGCGTCCTTGTCATTTCTTTCTATGTCGCAAGGGTGTTCTCGGAATGGGTCAGCTAGTCGTCTTCCTGTTTCATCAATGTGTAACTGGCAATAAGTGCAAGTTATGCAGTAAATGACACTGGCGGAGGTGCAAGTGAAGTGATCAGTGAACTTAATGAATGTCTTGGGTCCCGACATTTTCTTTATGTTGTGAATGAAAGGACACTAAGTTTTGCATCGTGAGCGAGCGTATATGAAAGTGCTAGGTTGGTCATTGGTTTGAAATGAACTTCTGACCAAAAAGTTGCCTATCTTTATGCCACGTTTGAACGAAATTAGAGGAGGTTGCGAAAAGATAGTACCAGTTTCTGAATTGCTTTGCAGTAATTTAAAGTTTTTAAGAATGCTAGATTTAACTGCGTTGTTGTGAGGGTGGAATGTGATAGTGAATGGAATACGAACAATATTTTACTTCTCAACCCTTTGAGGTGCTGACTGTCGATCAATATGAATAAAGAGGTAAGTTTCTAAAGAAACTGTGGTGTTGCGTCGGTGAGAGAGTAGAACAGGGTAATTTAATATTATCAACTGAGTTAGTAAGTAAATTGGTCACCGTAAACAGTTTAAAAGCTGACGTAATTTGGAGCGTTAGCTCTTCATCCATCGCTCTGACGAAGGGCTAATGCTTGGGGCAATTCTTGTTTAGCTCTGAAATCGTTAATTGTTTTTTGTTAATGTTTTGGTTGTCGAAAGTGAGATCTTTGTCAACTTTTGCCGCAAATCAAGGTTCGAGGTGTTAGAATCATACAAAACAAAAATACTTTCGAAACACTCAAGATTCGAAAGTCTAAATGCCGCTTTGCGCCAACTTTCTGACACCTCTTTTTATGCCAAAGTTCTTAAACTTCGAACCTTGCTTTGCGGCAAAAGTTGACAAAGATCCCACTTTCATCAACCAAAACATTGTCAAAATCACGATGAACGATCTTAGAGCTAAACAAGAAATGCCCCGAAGCGTTAGACCTTCGTTAAAGCGATGGACGAAACTTAAGGCTAACGCTCGAAAGGTCAGCTTTTAAACTCTTTACGGTGGCCAATTTACGTTATAAACTCAGTTGATAATACTAAATTATCCTGTTATACTCTTCCAGCGACGCAGTACCACAGTTTCTTTAGAAACTTACCCCCTCTATTCAAAGTGGTTTTAACCAAGTGATTTTATCCAAGAGACTTACGCCGAAGTTTATGTTACTGAACGAAACTTCCATCAAATAAAGGCTAGGAAGTGGTGTTATATTGCGATAAAGAGGGCGCACAAATATAGCGAAGTTTACAGAAACGGACTCAGCGTCCTTTCTTTATTCAAAGCAGAATAAATGTCGAAGTGACCTTTAACACGAGTTTTGTCCTTAAAATCACAAATTTTCAATCAAACTTATGAAAATTATATTATGTGAAAGCCTAAATTTTGAATTTTCACCCATTTTGTAGTTTTACTACATCTTAGCTTCAGTTAATGTAAGTCAGTTCCATACGACAGGCTACACATGACGAAAAAGTCATATTGCCACTGGTGGCAATTTGACTTTCAGTGGTGGGGGTTATGTGGTAGCGAGTTTGTTATGGTGGCGAACTGACCTTAAATCGAGGTAACTCTCTCATAACATAGCGGCAACAAATTGAACTAATTTGGCAAAGACACTCGTTTTGCTTCGCTATCTTTCTCTCGTTTGTTGTCAAGCTTGATGCTTGGCTTATAGGTCAGTGTTTAGGAAGTGGTTGAGAGTCATATTCGCTTTTTATTTCAATTATGGTTGTGAAAGCTGTCAGAATATGAGAATTGAAAGGACCTCTCAGCAAAACTTGACGGAAACTCAAGATTGACAATGACACAGAAATACCAGGCTTAAGCTTGGGATAAAACTCTGGAAAAAATGAAAAAACTCAGGTCATTTGTTCACTGTGATTTCAACTTACTTGTGATTAACTTTGTTTAAATATAGAAAATTGCGATAAACGTTTCTTAAAAACATTGGGAGATTTCTAAAAGACGACGACATTTCCACATTGGCTAACGTCATTATCAAGTCAAACGAATATTTGTAAATTGCAATCTATATATACCAAAATAACAATGGGTGATAAAAAAGCTGTAACGTAAGAAAAGAACAATAGTAATTAAACAAAAAGTTGGGCACGTATGGAGTCCGTCAGCATGGATTTTTAAATTAGGCTTGAGATTCTTGGTGAACAGCATTTCAAAGACTAAGCAATCAAATTTTCCTTGGCACTTTCTTAAAACTCTAAATTGGTTTTCTTTCAAGAGGTGGTTACTACCGTGAGCTTCCACGAAATGTCGACTGATTGCCGAATATTTGTGCTCAGCAATGCGTTGATGAAGGTGTCGGGTTGTGTACCCGACATAATCTGCATCGCACAGATCGCATGAGAAACGATAAACAACGCATTGCCGATTTACAATTGACGGTTTGATTTCTTTGGGTTTAAGATCTCGCCCCAATTTTCTGCTCACAAAAACAGGCCGCAATGTAGGGAAAATCTTATGGCTAAGATCGCGCAACTGCTTCCGAACCGCATTAGTGGCCACTTGATCTTTGAATGGAAAACTAATTCCCTGCTGTGCTACTATCATCGGTGTTTCTTTCCGCTATGCCGCCGAAACATTTCTAAAAAGAAAATTATTGATTCCGCTATCCAAGCCGTCAATTGTGAGTCGGCAATGCTTTGTTTATAGTTTCTTATGTGATCTGTGCGATGCAGATTATGTCGGGTACACAGCCCGACACCTTCATCAACGCATTGCTGAGCACAAATATTCGGCAATCGGTCGACATTCCGTGGAAGCTCACGGTAGCAACCACCTCTTGAAAGAAAACCAATTTAGAGTTTTAAGAAAGTGCCAGGGGAAAATTTGATTGCTTAGTCTTTAATATGCTGTTCATTAAGAATCTCAAGCCTAATTTAAAAATCCATGCAGACGGACTCCATACGTGCCAAACTTTTTGTTTAATTACTATTGTTCTTTTCTTACGTTACAGCTTTTTAATCACTCATTGTTATTTTGGTATATAGAGACTGCAACTTACACATATTCTTTTGACTTGAGAATGACGTTTAGCAAACGTCGAAACGTCGTCGTTTTTTAGTAATTTTAAAAATCTTTTTAAGACATGTTTAATCGCAATTTTTTATGGTTAAATGTTTTTCTAAATCACTTCTTCTTTGTATTAATTTTGTTGCACGGATTTTGACACAGAGACGCTGGCACAAGTTTCCGAGTAAATGTGACAACTGCGATATTGAACTGACGGATATAACGGTGAAATTGTGAAGACAGCTGGAGAGGTCATGGGACTCAGACTCTGCTCACTCATAGATCATGAAGGAGAGTCCCCAGGAAAGGCCTAACCTTAGATAAAACTAGATAAAGTCTTTGGTCCCAAGACGGATACGAGAAAACAAACCAAAGTAAAGTGGTTGTTACTGAGTGCCATGAAAACTTAGCTAGTTACAGTATTAAAAGTATGAAAGAGTTCTTTAAAGGGAGGTAACGGCTTTTAAAAAGACATGAAACGCCTTAGTGTAGGTTCTCAATTTTAATCAACCTTTGACTGACTTGGAAACATAGCAAACGTCATAAAGTCAGAACCGCTATTAGTTGGATATGGTTATGGCTCTTTTAAGGTGAATCCTTGGGAGGTAATCCCAGTTTTTTGCACTAAATTTTTACGAAGCTGTTGGTAAATTTAGAGGCTTCTTCCAGTAAAGGAAATGGTACATTTTAGAGGTCCTATTCCATATTAATAGGGCCTTTCGATCCCCTCAACGTTCGTACTTTCAGCCCCAATAATATCTGTAATTGCGTGTTGATCCTCGAATCAACAACGCGATGTAAATCAAACTTAGTGACGTCGCTGACTTTGTGAAAAGCTATCAAATCTCGTACATGCCTTAGTATTAGTAACGTTTGGTTTGCTGATTTAAGAGATATAACAGAATCTCCATTAACCCCTAGTTGTGAATCACTATAAGTTAGATAAATAAAACAATCACGCATACGTTTCTATTGTTTCTTATAATTTAGTTTTAACGTTCTCAAGCTTTTTTTATCGGTCACCACTGTCAACCCACTTTGCCTGTGATAAATGGAAAATGATTGAGTTTACTGTCTAATTCTTAAGACCCGCTAACGATCTCTTACTTCTACCTGGCAAGCAGTTTCTTTGATTCAGTAAAGAAGTAGAGAAAATTTGGTGTTGTATAATAAAGACACCCTCCAGCTGATTCGCTAGTTCACATTACCTGTTTGTTAGATGATGTATCGATATTGCAAGGAGAAGGTGCCTTATCAATCACTACTGGGAAATGATTGTTCAGTAAAATATCCACGTCACCGTTTGTTCAAGTTATCAATGAACACTGCAGTATGGAATCAATATGCAAGATTTGGCAATAAAGGAGAACAAATTAAGTACAATCACAAGTAGGCTTTAAGGTGGTCTACTCTTTGAGAAGTTGTTTCAGTTGACTTTAACTTTTCAAGTACTCACTAGAAACACGCGTTGTCATGATGATATCTTTGTCTTGCCTTCCTCCCTCCCCCCCCCCTCCCACCCTCCTTGATAAGTAGCTACTTGAGGGCTCTCACTCGCGCGATCCGGTAAAATTTCTAGAACAATCTCTGATCAAGCAAAACAAAAACAGTCCGTCTTTGTCTAAGCTCTGCGTGGCATATTTCACATTCATTTTCATGCTATCATTCCATTGTTTATTATGAAGGAATCTTTCATAGCGGAGGTGGTCCTCTTATTAACCTTATTTTAATTGCTGTCGGTGAAAGCAAAATACAGAAGGAAGGCGGAGGATGAGAAGCACGCGGTTCGTAATTCGTGATGGACCATACATATTTTATTCTTTCTTACTGAAAAACTCTTCTTGACAGTCTAGGCTTTTAACGTACATTTTCAGTCGCGGAATATTGGTCAGAACACATTCAAAACAGAAGAAACCCTTAAGCGTTTTATTAAGTCAAAACACTTCCTGTTTCCGCATTAATAAGTTTATTTGACGTATATTTACATTGACCCTTGCTCATTTTCATTCCTCATTCGAATTTTCGAGTGTCTAAAGACAGGTCTGCAAGGTAGGGTCTTCGTCTTTGAAAATCTCTTGTTATTTTATCGTAACAAGATATATTTTATAATACCTAACTTTCGACTAATGGCACTTACGTGTTTGATCAGTAGTGAGAGAAATCAGATAAGATTGGGTAACTCACGTATCAGCTACTGATGTCTTATAGTAGGCCAACGTCGTCAATTTCCATCAAGTGATCAAGGCGGCTTTTCTAAGCTTTCATACCATTCGTACCTTTATTTCTAATATAATATTAATTTTTACTACATTCAAAGCTGTTTAAGATGATGTTGCGCCATAAGGACTTTGTCCGACTTACGTAAAAAAATCTGCATAATATTATCGTGACTTAACGAAAAAAAAAAACAATTACGACTGGTGGTGCCAGACGAAGAAAGAAAACACTTTTAAACTTCCAATTTTCCTATCATCCACTAAACCATTTTTAGAAAAAAGGCAAAAAGTTTCTTGTTGACGGCTTAAGAATATGTTTCTGCGGTAACAGTCATGGTTGGCTTCTTTTATGACTGAGTTCTTAAGTTAAAATCTAATTGAGTAAGGAAGTGTGGAAATTTAGCTCTATATTTTAGATAAGTAACCTGTTTTCTTTAAGGTAGTGCTTGTTTTTACTTGAGCTGAATCATCTGTTAGGTTTTACTGCAACGGTAGTGATGTTATACGACAGAAAATAGATCAAATTCCTCAGAAACTGACCTCTTGGAAACAAACAAACAAAATATCGATGGAGAAGTGATCGAGAATTTACCAAAATAGGTTCATATCTCAGCCGCTGTTGTTTGACCGGCGCGGAACTTTTTTCAAGGGAGAATTTAAAAAATGTGTGACGAATTCGTGGGTTCTTACGTTAGGTTCATTTTGAAACGTCTTTCGTCGCATCTTTCTAGGGTAAATAAACATTAAAGAAATTCCGCAGACATAACAAGGATAGATAGAAAGAAACTGGAATGAACTATTTTCCTGTCGAATTGTTTCAGCTTGTACACATAAGTTTGCGAAGCTAACGGCAGAACGAACGTGCAGTGTATTTATTAAGCTCCAAGTCAGTTTCAAATGACTTGTCATCTCGTTAATAGGAACTAAGCTTGAGATCAGTACCTCTTCCGAATGAATAAAGGTAATCTTTCAGTATCAAGACATTTGTCCGTTTTTATACATTTTGGCTCCTTTTTTCACTTTCGTTTTTTTCCTTCGTTATAACGGTAAATGGTGCTTTCCAGAAACGTCATGTTATTCTTAAACAGCTTCTTGTTAATTTGCGCTCAACAAAGAGACCACTTACGATTTAAAAATAGCTCTAACACTATTATCCAACCTGACAGTTATTATGCGCGAAGACACTAGCTTTCAATTGAAATATAAAGGGACAATAGTATCAGACAAACCGGTCACTTGTTGCGTAATAACAACTATACCGCGTTGGCAGCCATGCTTATTCTACATTACTTCTTCATTGAGCATATCGGACCATCTTTCCAAAATGAGTTTAGTCATTAACACCGAAACCAAAACATTTGGCTTTCACTCCAGATTAACTCGCTGAGTGAATTAGAGAAGAATGTTTCGCTCTGTTAGCTCTGTTGTCTCCATCACGATTCAATGGGCCGTTGGAATTGAGGCTTGCAGCCAGGGAGGAAGAGACAGTCTCCAACCTTTCCCGTATGCATAGGTAACATACAAAAACATGAAATGACCCGGAAAATGTCTCAGTGAAAATCGTGAATATCATTCATTCCTCTTTACCGATCAATATCACTGGATACTGTTGACGTGGAAAGAAAAAGGGTTACCTAATTCATTAGCAAAGAGGCTTTTTTGCATCATGATCATAGACTGAAGTATTTACAAAAAATTATTGGATGAGGATTTATTGATAACCAGAATAATCAAAGTCGAGGCAGGGTAAATTTACTTAGAATCTCTATAATTCCTTTGTAAGATTGGGAGTAGAACAAACAACGCTCATCAAATAATAAAATGAAAAATTTAAGAAATCACTCTTTACACCTCTCCAACTTCTTAAGACCGTAATCATGGTATAATCTTGGAGTGAAATTTGCTTGCTGATAGTATCTTCTCCAACACTTTATATTTTACTTTTTTCATCTGATTACTTGATTTATGACTTTATCTAGTCAGTGTAAATTTATATTCATCGACTCATTTTTTTTGTCGCGGCAACCATGTCGATCCTAGATCTCATGAAATATTATTTGCATGTACGAAATGTCTGAACACTATGTAGTCGCTCCGTGACTTTGAGAGAGATTGAACTACATTGTAAGAATTAGATGACTAATTTGGAAACTTGAGCACTTGGTAAATACACCTTGGCTTGCAGTTCTGATGATTACAGTTTGCTGAGGTTACTGAAATGTTAGTCTCCATGCAGGAACCTTCCACTTGACCTGTACAGTCATGTACTATGAGATAACTTTAGAAAAATGCATTTGTGTTGGCGGAACTATTGTAAATACAGTACCTCCTAGAGACAAAAATAAATGAGCTCCTGTAAGCATTAACATTTGGGAGAAGTTATGGTGGTAAATGACCCTTCTTTTGCTAGGATACATAGGGTCTGATGATTGAAATGTATATCTTTTAGTTTTCAAACTATCAACTTTGTATTAATTGTTGCTGTTTACCATATCTATTCTCTGTACCTTAAGCCCTCAAAAGTTGAAGCAGGCGAGTCAATAACCTGACTTCCTTTGTTTGGACTTGTGTGATTATATAATTTTGCTGTGTAAGTTACCATACTGCAACATGTAATATTATACACTAGCTCAAGCTTTCATTAATGCATGGTGTTTCTTACCAATGGTCTTACCCAAACTGAACATCGAAATTAGGAATTGGTCATAAGATATGTGCGTTTAAAAGGGTGGGAATGTGGAAAAACAAGGATCCTCCTTTAATTAGGACTGAAATTAATGGGGGCCCTCTTATTTTAATTCATATTTTTAATTTGACCTGCCTCCTCTCCTGTAATGTTTAGGGCACATAGATTAAGAGAATATTTTTTTGCATTTTGATGCATGAAAGTTAAATTACCAGTAATTGGCATCCACATAATCACAAAGCAAGAATGTAAAGCTTGAGCTTAATTGGTTAAAAAATTAAAATAAGAGAGTTTTGCAGACCATGTCTGACTTTTTATCCTGGCTCTGGATATTTATTCAAATAACATAGTCACTATCAGTCTCATTCACTCTCACTTTCCACTGAGCTTGTGGAAAGATGATAACATCATTATTTCTTTAAATGAAGAAAGGAAAGCATCATCAGTACAAACCTGGTCTAACTTTTACATGAAGGTGATTGTTCCAGGTAGGGTAACCTTAAAAATTAGTTGTAGGCATTTCTTGAACCCGTCGTTTTACGTCTTGAATGTTTAACTCAATTTTTCTTCACTAACCTAAACTAAATATATATAAACATGAAATTTATTTGTTTTCCTTTTGAGGGGGGATCATTGACATTGTCATCTATAGGTTTAGAGGAAATCTGCTTGTGCATGTGTTTTCAATTTATGAAACGGATTATGACTACTTCAAAAGACTTTACTACACGCTGTATAGGTACTGGCAGGCATTGTTAAAAAAGTTTGCTAAGCTTTTTCATTAGTACACATTTCTTTTTCTAAGAATTCTGTTTATCCAGCCTGTGCTGAATTCTAATTTTTCGACAAAATTTTATTGTTTTTTAGTAGTAATAGATCTCCTAGTATCCGACGT